TCATATTTTTGCTTACCACTTTATAATGGCAAATCAACTGAACACCACAAGAATTTCAATGCTGTTAAATAACATTTGCATTGCTAGAGCTTATATGAAATTTATAGTCAACTATTAACAGGCTTATATTTACTGTCATTGTTTTATGTGTTCCTTAGACTTACAGAGTGAATTATCCAGCTAAAGTTGGAGAAGGTTAGTGCATAAAAAATTGTTTGGGTTCCCATTTCAATTTGACTTGTTAAATTAGCTTGCTGTTGTCACTTCTGAGGCAGTAGAGGACTTGCTGAAAAATCTTCCTCATGGATTTTTGGGTATTACAATAAACGTTAAATATGCCTGTATCTGTTAGAAAGAAAATAGAGTCCAGAACATGTTTGTAAAAACATAAGCCAAGGGCAGAAAAGGAAGGAGAAGATGAGCTAATTATTCCAGCTGAAGATGTCACTTTGTGAAAATGAAACTGTAGAGTTTTTGAGATTTCTTTTGTATCACTTCTGTTGAATAAAGCTGGTATTGAAGTCCCAGGGCTTCGTAAAAGGACAGCGGCAATTCCTTGGCAAGAAGCTCAGTTGTTGAGGGAACTCGGATGCTTTCATTCCCTGGCTCGGGATGCTGAGGGATGTGCCTGTTCTCCTTTCTTCAGCTTGCTGCTGCGAAGAGACAGTATTCCCTTGCTCTCCTTCAGTATAATGCTCTTCTTTCGAATGAGTATGGACAATCTGTTACTCGTAACTTCATAAAGAGTATTGAGATTTACCTTTAAATAAGCCAAAAGCATTTTCAGGTGCTGGTTAGGGAAGACATCTATACTTCTCTTTTTCTCCCAGAACTGAAGACTTACCCTGCTTAAGTCCACTGAATTTTTTTTTTTTTTAGTTTACTTTAATTTTGAATGCTTAAATAAATACTGCCATCTGAAAAAAGCCATTTGTATAAGGTAACATTAAAATTTAAGGTAACCTCTGTGAAGCTGATAAGCATTTTGGTAACGAAAAGTATGTTTTGAAGAAGGTTTGCTTTTCATTGCACTGAGCTCAGGTTTTCAGAGGCCTGATAGCATATCTGTGGCCTTTGTTGAAAATGTTGACTGTTCATTCATGAATGATTAACAGGTTGTTTTATTTAAAGGCACGTATCTGCTTCCTACTGTGCCAGTAGAAAATCTGTGTTCTGAAAATGCTCTGTGTGCAGTCTCTGTTTGAAGAATGCTGTGTGTTGATCCCAGAAACTTTGTCCTGCTTGCATGAAACTCTTTTACTTATCAATTTGCGAGGATTTAGTGCTAGCAGACTTTTCTGAGAGACCGAAGTTAAACGTGGCAGATTTCTATAGTATAATAATACAGAGCATTGCTGAGCTCTGGGAGAGGTCCTTGTGTTCTTGAAGTTGCCAGATTGCTTAATGGGGTGTACAACTTTCATTCGTGTTGTAGTGTCATAGAAGTATTTCTGTTTTCTAATTTTTCTTTATCACTTTTCTAGCAAGAGTGCTTCACTGTTCTTAGAAGAAAGCAACATGAAAAAGTCTGAAATCCATACCAAATAGCAAATGAATGTTGAAATGTTTGGAGTATAAGTCATTTTGTGTGTGCGTGCATGGGCACGTTGAAGGACGTGTTCTTGTGATTCTGATAGTGAGAAGACAAAGAATCTCTTTTGGCAGATTTAATTCCATGTTTATGAGCATTCAGAGTTTGTTAGTGCAAAAAAGAACCTCGGGGGGTGAAGTTCTAGCTGGAAGTCTTGCTTAGTGTTTAGCATATATTTAAGTTTCCCTTAACTGCGTATGTCTGGTTTTGGGAAAACAGCCATGGAAGTGGTCAGAAACTATTTTGATCTAGGTAATGCTTTGTCTATTTGGATTTATATATTGGCAGTGAGTAATGGTTTAGGTAAATGAAAGGAATACAGTTAAATTAATCCACTTTTTGGCTTGGAACTATTAAATGTTTTTGCAGAACACAGTCTTGAACTCAAAAAATGGTCATCCGAAAGGAAAGGGGGAGGTGATGCAGGGCCCTGGAGCTCTACAGGGACATCTACTGGGACCTGCCCCTCCAGGACTCCCTTCCCAACGTGGGGAGGTGGGGGCGAGGGGGAGATTGACCTTCCTGCCAACACTGGCATAGAAAGTACACTAAAGTTAATTTCAGAAAACTTCGAACTTTCTAAAAGCTATTTTTCTTATCAATAAATAAGAAATTCTTGACAAAATTGGCCTTGATAAGGTTGGGTGCTGTTGAACTGAGCGTAATTGTAGACACAACAACAAATCTCATCACATGGCTTGACGTATGAGGAAGTATTGTTGTGTGCTACGTGGTTATTTAAAATAGTTCCTGATAAAGTTGTATCTCTCAAAATGTACTTAAACTATGTGTTGTTTTCAGATTGGTGGTTTTGCTTTTTTTTTTTTTTTAAATTCTTTGCTGAAAGGAGTAACTTCCAAGGGCCTTTCAAAAATCTTGCAATTCTCCCTTAAAAGTCTGTCAGAAGAGAGAACAATAGGGAATGAAAGTAGCTGGAGGATTGACTGGATTGTCTTGTTGCTTAGGACAAAAATTCTGACTTTTCCTTGAAAATCAGAAGTTGGTATATTGAGTTTGGAAGCACTAAGCATTCAGAAGAAAATCCCTTATTATACTTTCATATCATGTTACTGTTTTAAACATCACTAATATGCTGCTGGAGTCGTGTGGCAGTACACTGGCTGTGAGCTCCCAGGATTGGCTTAGCACATCCACATCCTGCAGTTTCATCTGGAGTTGTGCTGGTTGTGTTCCTATGTGCTACTTGAGAAAACGTTCCTAAAACTATACCAAGCATTCTGTGTCACAGCCTATATAGAAAACACTTTTATTAATACACAGAACTGTTCTTTTAATGATGGCATCCAATTAAAACAAAAAAAGCAACTGGCAAGTGCGGTCCAGACAGAAAGCCTTCTTTTTGTCTTTTGTGGAAGAGGAGTTTCAGGAGGAGGTGAGAGTTGTGCAAGCCACCAGCCTCCCACTGCAGCAGCCAGGGTGCTTAGAGGTGCCACTTCCTTGAAACAGGGGAAGCAGCGGAAGGTTTGTGTGCTCTGTGGTGCAGGTGTGTGGTGTCATTTCAATGACAAGCCCTGTGGTTGTGTGGCAGGATGATTTACACGGGAAATGCAGCTCTGCAGGCTATTGGGAAACCAGAGCAGGAACTGCAGTCTTGCATGAGGAGACATCTAGGTTTCTGCCCCAGCATCCTGGGAAATCGAGGATCGTCCCTGAAGGATGATGCTTTGTTCATAGTAGCGCTCTTTATGCTGTCAGTGCTCTCAAGATCAACTCTACCAAAGGCAACCATTCTACCCTCCTCACATAAAAAAAAAAAAAAAAAAAAAAAAAAAAAGAAAAAAAAAGGCAGGCATGTGTGACCTGGATAGTAGAAAAATAGTCTTTTACTGTTCATCAAGTTTTTTAACAGATTTTTCGTTTGAATTAGGTAGAGGAGGGTACTAATTAGTTTTGGGTCTCTGTTTTTGCCAGTGCTGCATTTTTTTTTTTTTTTAAGCACTTGTGGTTTGCCTTAAATGTACTGTACTTGCTATATCTAGTAAGCTGTGTTTTCTCTTTTAAAGGCATGCAAAACAAGTCCATACCCGTTATAATCTCATTAAGTTCCTCTCTAGCTGTTTCCCCCTTTGGTTGTGGATATTGCCCATATTTGGTTCTAGCTGTGGTGCAATCAGTTTATATCTGATTGTGTGGTATGATAAGCTGTCTTGCCTGAGCAAACCCTGATAATTTATGATTAGATGTGGCCTAGATTAGCATCTTATGATTTTAATGTTTAAAAGTACTTTATAAAAGATCTTTTATAATGCAATAGCAACAAGAGGCACAAGGACTTGCCTACAGCAAAGCTTCTCAATTCAAACCAAGGGGATGGTATGAATTATATAGTTTGTTCCTTTAGAGTGCCTAAATAATGTGCCCCAAAGTACGGAGATGCTATTGCATTACCAAGAAACTCTTCAATTTGGTTTAATAATTATCTGCTTTCACGATTTTATAATCACAGCTCTTGTGAAAACACATGCTCTTGAATTCTGAATTGCATGTTTGTATTATACTTTAAAATTTGAACATCCGAACCTTTATTTCTCTCCTAAGCACCTTAGTGGCTTATTTAAAAGTACTCATGGTTTCAGAAAGTGCTGTGGACTTCTAACCATGATTTCTGCTGGCTGTTATGTTATAAAGTTATTTATTAATGAGAAATTGTCAATGCAGGTATTTGTTGTTCTTCTTTTGTGCATGTATATCAGGTGGGTAAGAACATCCACTTAATTTCTACAAGAAGAGAGCAGTAATCAAAACATTTGGTAGTGTTGCCTAAAATATTTTTAAATAAGCATCTGTTTGGAAAGGCATACAGGTAAACTGTCCAGGTGTTTTTCAGAGTTTCTTAGTCACAACACTGCACTCATCTTTCCAGCTGAGCTTCCTGTTTAGATCGTGCTGAGAAAATAAAAGTGCTACTTAACATTCACCATCATTTTATTAGCAGTGAGGAGGAAAGGTTGAGGAACAGTCTTTGCCTAACAAGTGACATCTGAGAAATGCTACGTTTTTGGTGGTTTTTTTAACAAGATCACATTACTTACAGTTTCTAAACAATACTTGAACTGTAAAGCTGAAGTTTTCCAGCAAGGCAAGCATACAATTTTTTGATGATGACTCCAGTGTATTTCAAATCCACTTTAAGACATAATTATTAGCTGTCATCTGGAAAAATACTGAGAAATTGGTTCAGCATTAAGTAAAGAGAACTTGTGATATCTACCTTAGAATTAACAATCTAATGTTCTCCCGCCCCAGCATCTTGTGGCTGTTCTTTGTGCTTTTGTACTTAACAACAAAAAGAGGAGTTTGTTGGTTTGTTTTGCTGCTGTATTCTGATTTGTAAGGGAGCATTCAAAAATTCATTTGCTCTTTAACAGTACATTTCTTCTCTCAATAGCCAACTACTCCACCAAGCCAAGGGAGGCCTGATTCACCAGTTTATGCTAATTTACAAGAACTGAAAATATCTCAGTCTGCACTTCCACCACTACCTACAAGTGCTCCGGTCCAAATAAATGGGGAATGGGAAACCCATAAAGATACGACAGGACGCTGTTATTACTACAACAGAGGATCACAGGAGCGAACCTGGAAACCTCCGCGGTGGGCCCGAGATGCAAGCATTAATAAAGGGGATTCCCAGAGCCATGCAGATCATGAGGTAGTTCCTTCTGAGATCACAAGCATTGAGATTGTAATGCATATGAATGCTCTTTTGTTGTGGAATTTGGTATCTCTGAGTTTCAAGGTGTCAAGGAGTGTCTTAGTTTCTCTTTTTTTGTTATGTGTCTTGGTATGAAGTAGTCAACAGTTTCACTCTTCAGTTACTTTTGTGTACAAGAATGTGTACATGAACTGTGTACAAGAGTACTAAGTTGTAAAAATGCCTGTAAAAACAGCTCCTCAGCAGGTATTGCAGGTTTTGACTAGATTATCTTCAGACCATAAACATCTTTTTTAGATATATCAATGGATTTCTTTTCATTATATAAACATTTTGCTTTTGGGAAAGCTTTACTGCCAACCTTGCTTAAGAGAGCTGAAGCTTACTGTGAAGTTATTTGTGTTAAAAGATAATTTGGGATAATATTTGAGGTGTCAATTTATTCTGTGCAGCCAGTTGGTAGGGAAAGCCAGACAGTGATGTCTGTTTATCTGAACTGCAATGGTTCAGATTAAGCAAAGGAATAGTTGTGAGATGTATATTACTATTTAAATATGCTTAAAATAGTGGTCTTGTGTTCAAACAGTACTTAGGTTAACCAGTTTCCTGATTGAAAGAAAAAGCAAATACTTCTCAAGAAATCTTCTACACACTTCATTTTTATATACCCTTTTCAAATATATATAGTTTAAGTGGATTTTTTTCCTGGGCCAATATATTTATATAAACTATATATAGCATATATAGTTTATATATATATGTATCTCCCAATTGTGGACTGATCAAAAGTTTTTGGTTGCTGGAAGCCTGTCGTAGAAGTCTACCCCTGGAACAGTAGTAACAGAAACAGGAGAGAAAGAGAAAAAGGAAACCTTTCATTGCCTTTGGCAATGGTCTTCATAGTAGCCACGACATCCTCAAGCATTTAAATAGCCAAATTCTCTTGCCACAGGCTAATTGCAGCAACAGATAAACAGGTGAAATGTTGGTGCCTTTCCCTTTGATATCTCTGGTGATGGTCTGTTAATTTATCATTGACTGTCCTTTTGCTGGATAAGATTCTGATTTTAGTCTGGATAAGGTGATTACTTTTTTGAGTAGTAATTCTCCTTGTAGTAAATGTAACTGGTTTTCTCATTGCCATCATTCTTCCTTCTTTTCATGGAAGGTCTTGTAAGAATTCTTTCTCCCTTCCCATCTGCAAGTGATTCCTTTGATTCTTCCTCATACCTCTGTACCATGACTTCATCACATGGTTGCGTCTACAGAATGCTTGATTTTGTTAATTATTTTTTTTATTGCCCATAACATCTTTCAGCTCAATTCTTCTGTTTATTTGTGATGCTTGAGGTATCACAGATTGGCCTTCAGACCGTTATATCTATCAAGTTTTCAGTCTCTGTGAGACCAGTGGATGATAATACATGTTTTGATTTTTAACTAGACACTAATTTGTATTTCCAGTAGCATAAGCTCCTTAAGTAATTTGTGTCTTGAATGGATTATCAAAGTTTGAGTCTAGGAAGATATGTGTTGCAAAGTCATCTCAATCCACTTACCAGCAGTCATGTGTTGATTTTGAAGCTGGGTTTTTTGTTTGTTTTTTTGGTTTTTTTTAGATCTCCTTTCCTCCCACTTACCTTTTCTGTTCTGCATTTGAGATTGTACATCACACTCCACTGTTTGTGTTCCTTTTTGTTTTTGACCAAAACTTAAGATTTGGTCAAAAGTACTTAAAAAAACAGAGTAAAGGTTGAGATCCAAGCCTAAGCTACAGTAAAATATAGGGCATCCCAAATTTTGTCTGATTGTGAAGAATTAGAGCAAATATGTCCAAATAATTAGTAAAACTAGATTTAATTTATTATAATAAAGTTAAGTTGTTTTTTACACTAGTCTGAGTTAGGCTCATTTAGTGATAAAAGAGCACATGCAGGAAGGTAAAATCCTAGTTGTATCTTTACTGGTTTGTCCTCAGAGGAGCTTGTATCATATTAGGTAGCAAAATGTCAAGGTGATGTAAAAATGAGAACTTTGAATGATCACATATTCTAATATATGTGTAATATGTTAGAACATGAAATAGTTTGTAGTCAGTCTTAGAACTTTATGGTTAGGAAATTGAATTTTATTGGCTAATTAAGAAGGGACAGAATTGCACCTAATTTGTCAAAGAAGTTGGTAACAGACATGGCACAAACAGTTGTAGCTTATGACAGTTTTATGGTTGTTATATGTTATATGGATGGGGTGTGGGAAAGCAGTGAAGTCCTATCGACAGGGCCTCTAGGAAAATGTATAAGACTTTGGAATTGCAGATGAAATGTATTAGAGGTAGTGACTTTCTAATATATTTGAGGAAGGAGTGTTTAACAGTAACTGGGAGAAATTTGTCAAGCGAAGTGATTTAATTAAGTTGGACTGTAAAAGGAATGAGAATGTCACCATATCAGAGAAAGGCAAACCTCTAATACCCAGCTAGGAGACCATAACGTGAAGCAGACATCAATAAATTACCCAACAAGCTGTAGAAAAGCAAAGGAATTTCATTTAAATTCAAAACTACATTTAAAACATATGACCAAGGTGCAATTTCATTCCTTGGTTTTTTTTTCCAAAACAAACAAATGGGAATATAGGGATGCTAGCTTCTTTAGTTAGTGTTCTTTATTATTTTCACTTTTAGAAGTAGTAGTGACTTTAAAAATTAGACTAGTTAAGTGATAGAAGAGAGACAGTAATTGTTCCTATTAAATGCATGGTGATGAACTGGTCTCCACCCCCAAGAATTTTCCATGTAAATGGAAAAGAGCAAAGAAGTGATAATGTGGGGGACCTTTTCAGTAATTCCCTTTAGTGTCACAACAAGTTTCTTACAAGGTGAAAGGTTGGGCAATTGTCTGCTTAAGATGGCTTTATTTAAGTGTGGTGTAGTATAGTTGGGGATGGGACTCTGGGGAAAAAAGCATGGATCATACTTAAAAAGCAAAAGCATATAGGCAGTTAATACAGAAAAAGTGTTGAAAGTGAAATTGAAAGCTGTTGAATGTGGTTTGGCCAGCATTCTCTAACCCCTGTCGATGCAGCTCTAGCAGTTATTCCTGCTAGCTGAGCGACAAGGAATGCCTTGGCTTGGCAAGCTTTGTAACAGCTCAGGAATTCTGTTGAACTTTAGATCTGCAAAGGTACAGGACATGAGTTAAACCTTGAAGCATCTAAATATCATTGTATGGATGCCTTACAGATAGACACATTAACAGTCATTCTTTCTGAACAGCAGTGATTTTTGTAGGAGAATTTTCGTTTTTAGGTCTTCTGTTTAGTTTTACATGTGTAGGGTGTTTCTTCAGTATCAGGAGTTGCTCGAAGAGGCAAATACAAGTGCAATATCTTATTACAATCCCAGCTGATAGTAATAATAAAAATGTCCAAAGTCTACTACTTTAACCATATGTCAATGCAATTAATATTTAACCATTAAAACAAGGTAAACAAAATACATGTATACAATATCATTCATTCACCTTTGAGCCTGCCCAGTGGATTTTTTAGGTGAGACGCAGCATGCGCAGAACTGGATCCACCCTTTAACCCTAAGGTTCATCTGCCAGGGCCAAGTGAGCTTGGATGGTGGCAGCGAGATCCTTAGGACATAGGTTTAATTAGAGTGACCTTCTCTTAGATGGATGGCCTTACAGGGCTAAGCGAGCTCCATCTACCTGGGTTTGGAATTAGAGTTGTCCTTCTCCTAGGATGACTGCCAGAAGGCTAGCGAGCTCATCCTGCCCATGTATACAATATAGTTATCTTATAAAACAGTAGTTCAAGTGGGGCCAATATCAGCAACTCCTCAGTCTTAATTCTGCAAGTATAAAAATGGGACTGAAGACTCCCCATAGTGGTTAGAAATTGGCACATCAGAATTTCTCATTATCCCCCGTGCAAGAGAGGTAGCGTTGGTTAATCCATAGTTTACATGCTCACATTCTGTAACTGTGGAGGACACTTAAATTTTTTCATGTTCCTTTATTAATGATCTGAAAATTTCCTATGGGTTTTGCTGTGCTTGTTAAGCTGGCTCGTGTCAGTGGAGGGAGTTTGTCACACAAGTGGTAAGGTACTCAGAAAAGTAACACCAAAAACCTGTGTAGTAATGATTTGGAAATGTCACTAAATGTGTAGTCTCTAAACCCACTGACTTTTAAAAACCATTTCTGATAACTGAATATTTTTTTGTAAGATTTAAGTTTTTAGGAGAGGTTTTTTCCTATTTAAAACTGAAATCCTGTTGTTCTCCTGCAGTCCTCTCCTTACAGTTTTTCTCAAAACTCTTATGCTAGTGTTACTGAACAGTAGTCAGTATTTTACTGCTGTAGTTTCTGAGTAGCAGGATGTTCCCTCTGAAGTGTTAATGCCTCCTGCTAGCTGAGGATCCAAGACACTGAGAAAGGCAATCTACATTGAATTCCTCAGGAGACCATGGCATAGAGATATTATGGGAGATGAAAACAAAGAGATTTTTTTTTTGATGCACGGAATGGATGCTTAGACTAAGACTACAATACATTAGCAAGGAGACGAACAAGGTTTACAGGGAACAGAAATTATTTGACGTGTGTGCAAAATCTTTTTTCTGTATTGCGCACGTCAAACTTGTTCCACACGTTATAATTCACTTCTATCTTCAGAGAATAAATTTTGCATCTCAACTAGCTATGTCTGGTAGAAAGCCTTGCTTTTGCATTGCTCTTTGTCACGGGTGTAAGAGTTGAAAAAAGGACAGTGGAAATTCCTGGTATTTTAGGATGAATGGCTCAAGTACTGTGAAGTGTGGGGGCATAAAAAGGTGCAACTGGAGTTTCAAGTTGTCCTTAATGATAATTGTGTTTCCAAATGTATTTGAAAAACAAGAAAGGATTTAGGTATGAAAGTTGTGATATTCCAGAAAACCAAGTTAGCAGGTATCCCAGGTTTTTTGAGGCAATGCAGATTACTAAAGCCAACTCTCTTCATCATTCAGTAATGTTAATTTGTAGGAATAAGATTTAGATAAGCAAAGAACCCTGGAGTTTAAATTTGAGTAGATGAAACTCGGTATAGTGGAAATAAAAAAAAAGATGGATCAGTATAAACCAGTTGTTCTGAATATACTTTGAATTGTCTGTACTGTGAAAATGCATCTCATTCTCTGATGTAAGATATAAAATGTGAACTCCCTGAATTCATTACTATTCTCTTTCTAGTCAAATAATCTTTGATCTTTCAGATTTTAAAGCACTTTCATTCTCAAAACTGCCTTATATGTTTCTGACTACTTGTAGCATCTTTCATCAGAAGAAAACGACCACAGTTCTTGTTACAGCCAGTCAGATAGTCAGTATGGTTCTCCTCCAAAGGGTTGGTCAGAAGAGTTGGATGAACATGGTCAAACCCTATATACCAATGACTATACTAATGAAAAGGTACTTTTTCTTTCTTCTCATCACGTGTTCTAAATCTTTTCCACTAATTCACTTCTAGAAATGAAATCTGCATTTCCAAAAGTGAAAAGCATTCCTCAGGAGTATCTCCTTTTGTTTTCTTAAATATGCATGAAACTTTAGCAACTGAACTGACTTTTTTTTGTATGTATGTTCTTTGCTATCTAAAAAGTTTTCTTATTTCCAGTTGCGTATTAGATGTTATTAAATGAACATATTATGTATAGTAGTTGTAATTTCCACCCTCCCCCATCCTCCTGGTTGTACTTCAAGAATGAACTTCTTGCTGTCCTTTCAGAGCTGCTCTTGTCTACATAGACCTTCCAGTCAGGATGGTTTTGAACTGAATATAATATAATACAACTTTATCAGTTTCATGATTTCCTTTATCAGATATTTTCGATACTGTTTTCAGATTTAGACAAACTTTGTAATTAAACTACAGCCTTATCAGCATATTTGTGCTCTATTCTTATTGTCTAATTGCTACAGACAACTTACTGTTATTCTGGGCATGTCATAAGAAGTTCTCCCACATAGGATAACGAACAGTAGTTGCCTATATTTGCAAAGCAGTCCATTTTTCTAATTGTTGACTGAAGTTGCATTTTGTTTTTAATCGTATTATAGCACCACCTCTTCTCCAGTTGAAGTATGCAAGTTTTATTTGCAAGAAGTTTTTAAATAATTGAGTTTTATCTCAATTTTGGAATTTTATCCTGTTTAATCTGTTTCTGATAAACATCTGTAGAGAGCATATCTCTGTTTTAGCAAATATGCTGACATTTTTTTAAATTGCACTGGGATTGATAGAGAACAGTGTTTCTTATCACATTTTATTGGAAGATGATTTTGTGAAACTTGCTTGAGCCAAGAGCCTTGCTGTGAGTGTTTCTGTGCGTATTTTTCTGCAATATTCTTGTAGATTTTTGCTCATCACAATTCTTTCCTTTCTGCATGACCAGTCCCAGTTGTCATGGGTTTACCTCTTTGATTGTAGGAGTTGCTTGTAGAGGTTACAGGAATTATATTGTCTTCGTGTTTTATCAAGGAACTGCATCTCATGTTCCCATTAATGTTTTTTAAAAGTTGTTCAACAAATATCTCTTAAATTATCAGCAGTTGCTGGCTGAGCTTCTTGTAATTTTATGTATAAGATTCTGACACGAATGTGATGGAAAGATTGTGCCTCCTTAAATTGAGAACGTAATGGTGATGAGAATGATATGCCATCTTAAAAGAATATCTGTTTATCACAATCTCTTGTATGATATTGCAGGACTGTTTTCTGAGGAGTTACAGAAAGAAAAGATATTAATGAACCCAATTCAGGATGTTGTTCTCATTGCAATCTAACCTTGGTTAATTAATGTAGGTTGTGCATTAGACACTGCTGAAGTGGATGGCACTTTATTAAAAATTAACTTTAAATCTCAGGTCTCAGAGATTTTGTTTCAACTGTCACTCTGATTACATTTTGTATCATCACATTTCTTTCTGCAGTGGATAAAACATGCAGATGAACAAGGTAGACCATACTACTACAGTGCTGATGGTTCCCGATCAGAATGGGAGTTACCTAAGGTGAGTGACCTAAAAAAGAAACTTTAACAACTTGGGGCTTTCCCCTCCTCCTGAATACATGTTCTATGGGGCCTTTAATGGGACTTATTCACCACAAGAGGACTTAAATATTGCACTTTGTTGTTTATTGCGTTTTTGTGTAATTTTTGATGGTGAAGAGGAAAAAATATACTCGAGGACATGAAAAATGGATGTATGTAATTATTCAGATGTCAAAGGAGATCTTGTATCTCTGCTGAACTGAGCTTTTCATGCAAGGCTGCAGAATAATATCTGTGATTTTGCTGTGATAAGGAAACCTTTATAGGAAAAAAGAAATTTTTTTTGCTGAAAAATGTCCCTGAGAAACTGGTCTATTTTTAGTAGCCTTCTAAATGCTTGTAAGACAACTGTTGAAAAACAAAAGTTTCAGCAGAGTTCTGTGGTATCTTTGAGGATGACACAGTTTCACAAGATTGTGTTCTGGTATTTATTAATTTTGTAATGAAAATAGAAATTTGCAGGGAAGTGACAGATCTAGGGACACTTGGTAGTCTGAAGGTGTACCTAACACTATTTCATTCTCATTTTCACTTTGTAAAACTATAGGGCAATTGTCATAATGATATTGTTGTATACATCTTTTCTCCTATTAGGATGCTTGTTCAATGCTACATAGTAAGGTGTGACCAGTAAAAAAATCGTGTTTCACATGGACTTGTGTGCATAAGTGTATGAAGGAGCATGTTTCTTCATTATTGTTTTATCAGTACAAAAATCAGTGTCCTAAGTCACTTTCACTTTTAAAGGAGCAACCTTAATAGATAGTGCTTTCATAATATTTGTGAGAAAACATTTACATTAAAGTTTATGAGTGAAGTTAAATACTGAGCTGTTTTGTTATGTTAGTAGAAGAATTTGTATCTGAGTCACTGAAGAGTTGAGTTGGGTTTGGGAATTCTCCTGTGTTAGTCTGACGGTAGATAACTTAAATTTTGTAACATGCATAAATGTAACAATATAATCTGTACCTATTGGTTTTATAAGATATGTAGCTATTGCTTTATTATCAGATTTATTAGACGTCTGAAAATCTGATAGACCAGGTTTCACCAGAAGCAATTATTGGTTCAGTATATATAAATGAAGTTAATTTTGGGGAAAAATATCTTGGGTACTTCTTTCTATGACTTCTGTAATGCAGAATGTTTTGACTTGGAAGAAACTGGTTTTCATTAAAATGGATTGCGTTTGGATTTGAGCTAAATAGCAAATTGCCTTTAATCCAACTAGAATAAGTCACAAAGATAATCTAGTACTGTTACCTGTGTCTTATTAGGATTTATTCTAGTATTTATTAGTGCATGCTATTTTAGTGATTCTAAAAAAATCTGAGTTCTGTTGTATTAACAGCCACCTCCAGAATTAAACATAACCTTTGTTTTGGAATTAGTGATCTGATATGCTTTAGTTCTTGTTTATATGAAAGTCATCACATATTACTGTTACAAATTTTCCTTGAAAATTATTTCTTATTATTCATGTGGGCAGAATGTACTTTTTAATTCCTTCTTGAAACTAGAAAATCTTGACTGGCAGCAAATGTGAGGTTAACAGAAGAAAATGAGCGGTTGACTCTTGGATTCATGATCCAAGAGCCTGTGTATTTCCAGAAATCCTTAGATTTTAACTTTAAATGCTGTGGAATAGATTAAATATTTCAACAAAAGATTTTGGCTAGTTTATATAGCTATATATTTGGAGATGTTATTCCTGTAAGTAATTAAGTGTGATTGAAGATTAGTCTCAAAGATCTTGCTGAAGCTGGCTCTAAACGTACTTAGAACAAATGAATTGGAAAGACAGTGCAGACCACAAAACTGCTTTGAAGAAAAATAATCTATATTGAAAACTCTCATGAGTAATGAAAGAAAACCATAGAAACACTTTGGTGTTATAACACTTGCTTAAATGAAAAGTAAGTTACTGAGAAAAAAACCCTACTCTTGGTCAGTTTTAGATCCCAGTGTATTTAGCTCAAATATTGCCTTCCAAAACTTGTGAAATAAAGTGATGGAATAGCAGGTCATGTAGTGCTGTTAAACCAGAAAAAGAAGATAATCCTTTTGTTAGATGGTTCTTAATAATCTGAACTTCTTTAGAACTAAAAATGGTTCAGAGGTTTCTGGAAATAGCACACTAGCTGAGCTAATACTGTGACATTAAAAATCTTCATGGTAATAGCATTAACTGTAAATGTGCACATGCTCGGGAATAACACAGTATTCTTGTACGTGTGTTAAAAATTATGAGGGTATATGTTGGGAAGGGAGGGCAGTTACAAAACAAATTACTTTAGACAGTCTCACAGAAAGCCCTCCAGTCATGTGAATTTAAATAACATCTAGGAATAGCTGAATGCCCCTGGCTGAAACTGATGTTTCAGATGGAGTAGCTTTGACAACTGCTGCAAAGTCTATTAAGGCTCATGATGAGTGTGACCCAGCTTTCTGTAGTGGAAGAGAAGAACATAGTGAATTAATCTTTAAAATGGGTAATAATATTTTAACCATGGTCTCTACTACATCTTACAAAAGACTTTGAGTTTTCTGCTATGCAGCATTCTGTTGGTTTTTGCCAGTTATTAGAAAAACTCAAAACAGCCAAACAACAAAAAAAACCAACAAACCAACTAATAAAAGTTCATTCCTGTGCAGATCACTATGATAAAATATTTTTATTTCCTGTGTAGTGAATGAACAATACCTAAATCATGCTGAGAAGGGCTACAGCCCTATTCCAGAAACCTAGTTTTCTAATATGAGTTTTATTACTTTAGCAAATGAGAAATCTGTATTAAGGGTGGGGGTAATTAAATTGATCTCAGGAGTGAGAACACTCTAATTTCTAAAGTTTTTAAAAAAGTTAATCTATCAAAATGACAAAAAAAGTGAGGAAAGCTATGTAATAAATAATGAAAAATAGCTCAAAGGGGAGTTAGAGAGGACAACCTAATATAAAGTAGAGATCAAAGATCTCTCTGATTTTTAAAATGCATTCCTAAGCCAATACCTGCCCTCCTCCGAGTGAGCTTTCTGATCCGAAAGTAGCCTTTGAAAGAAAATAAATGTATACTATAATCCTCTGGAGTGAACTCATAGTTTTGGTGTTGATATTTACAGACTGTGACATTGCAATTGCATGTTTTCTTCTCACAAGTGCCTGCAACATTAGCTCCCCTTGCTGTATCCACAGGGGAAGCAATAGGTGGAGGAGCTTAATTTTTAGGAGTCTTAATGGACCAACACTCTGTTAATTCACTCTGTGCACTGTCAACATGGGGTATGAGCTCAGGGGCCTCAGTTCTGGTACTCGGGGAATGATTTTCCTGTTGGAGACCCGAATGCTGTCAGACAGAGCATGCTAGCTGAAAAAATGACTGTAAAACATGATGCAGGTCATGTCAGGAAGATATCACGAAATCATATGGTGAAAGGAAATAAAGATGTGAACATGTAAAGAGGGCTTGGTTGTCTTCTGGTAAATTTGTCTTCTTCTGAGCTGTGCTGTTCCTTTTGAGGTTACAAACTGTGTGTGTTGGCAGTTGTATCTACTGCAAGTCGGTGTACTAGACAGTATCATTGGCAATACTGAATCAGCTTCACATTCTTGTCCTAAAATTTTGGACTGCTTGGTGGAAGTTGAGACAGTCCAGCTGGTCCAAGGATCTAAATTGTTTTTGATGGCACAACAAACCTGCGATAAGTATGAGAAGACAGATTTCCCCCCCTCCTCCCTTTTTCCTTTCTGTGGTCTTCCTCATTTGTCCTGGTGTTTGGTGGTTCCCACCTGCCTTCCCTCTTCCCAGATAAGATGAGGGAGGAGGGGAAAGTGCCCCCAGCTTTTGCTTAGGCAAGCAACAGGACCTGTGGCAATCAGTGCTGACTTAGAGCTGCTCATCAAAGATGAGCAGTCTTGGTGATCCTGAGGATTAAAAGGTGAAGCAATGGGCATCCAAGACAGCAAAGCAAACAAAGCAGGTTATCCAGAGGTATCTTTCAGTCACTTGTATGTTAGAGCTAGAGCTGCTTGTCCCAGGGGTCTCTTCATTCTGTCTGGGTTCTGTTCCTTCAAGTGCAGCTGATGCCTCCAACTGCTGCCACTCAGGCATCCTATGGCATAGAATGAGGAATCACTTTCCCTAGAGAAGGAAAGGGAATGAAGTCCTTAAAAAGATAGAAGTATTTCTTATTTACTTATGTAGGTAAAAAAAAAAAAGTATTACTGATTTAGTTGATAAGAAAAGCATAAGCTGTAATGTAGGTGTTTATAACAACACAAAAAAAGTTTGTTCAAAGCCAATGACAGTAGTAGCACTAGAAAGTTTTGTTCTGAGGCAACATTTAATTTTTTTGAAAAAAAAAGAATCTTCTATTTCAGGCAGTGTATTGGGACAACTGCCAATAACATATGAGGTGCTAAAGGATACTAGGATAGCACAATAATTTTTTAAATGCTGCTGTTTTGATCACTGATTGCGTGAAGGTAAAATACTTGACTTCAGGTCTTTACTGACTTTCAGTACCCATTGCTTCCCAGGCTTTTCTCCCTTCACTCACCCAGTTCCTTTCATCTGACTGAGAATTCGTCAACACAAAGCAAGAAGAATATTTTTTCTTTCTTAAAGCTGACATATCTGTGTCGTCTCTGTAAGAATGGGGACAACTGCTACAAATAACTTGGAGGTGTTACGTTTATTTCAGCCACAATTGGGCTGGGACAGAGCCTTGAGCCATGCCACGTATCAGGTTAAAATTAAATGTAAATCACTCAGCCAGTTGAGAGGGTTAGAAAATTTTATACCAAGACAAAGAAAGCCTTTACATAGACAGTGAAGGTATTGAACAAATTCAGCAATGAAAAGAATACTGTGTGACCTAAATTTGTACCACTGATGTCCTTAACCTACACAAAGAGCTGTTACAAGAAGATGTCTGTTTTACTTGGTGTGTACATTCAGAGAATGAATAAATTGCTCATGTGCTCACTTCATGATAGGAGATGCTCCCAATGAAATGGGGAACAAACTGAGGTTATGATGGGTTCGTGTGATGTGACAAATTTGAGTTTGTGGAGGATTTTCAAGGAGCATAAGTGTGTATATTTGGAGTTGTGTGCCGCATTAAAAAAATGCTTTAGAATTTGGAGAATAAAAATTCTTAGAATTGCACCCTAAGAAGATGCCATTAAGGCACATGGCTGTAGCAGAGGTCATCCTGCCAGTCAATGTGTAGTCTTGGATGGGTCAGTTTTATTGCAGTGTAGGGCCCTTGCCTGATCTAAAGCTTACTCCAAGACTTAGGCCTAGAAAGCCTTCTTAGGGTTATGTAAAAACAAGATTTCGTGTGAGGGGAGGCAAGCCCAACCTAGTTGCTTATTTTTGCTGGTAAACAGTGGTAAATATTGTAAAATGCATGTGGGAGAGACAGCAGTTCCTCTGCAGGTGGGTGTCCTGTAGAGGGTCAGTAAGTGAATCAGAGCTGAAACTGTTCTGCAAGGGCTTTTTGAACTAAGATTGAGCCAGAGCAGACCAAAGAGTAGAAGGGTGGTGTCATCCAACCTGGTGAGGCTACTGGCTCTGGCTGCTTCCCTCTAGCCAGTGGACTCTGCCTGGTCTAGAGGATGGAGAGTTCTGTTGGACAATGTGGAGTCTGGAGCAGTGTCTGAATCTCACTCTGATTATCCTTGAAGATCACAGATCAGCTCATGTAATTTAAAAGTGGAGGCTTGTCTTGACCCAGAAATATATAAGGTTTTTATTTCCACATCACTTCCCCCCACAACCTTGCCAGTTTTACTATTTATAATGAATAAAACAAACAAATGAAAAACAAACCCTGCATAAAGATCTGAGCAAAAAATGTTTACTTGAGTCCCCATTGTGAGAAAATGGGGCAAAAATGTCAAATGTTCACTTTAAAGACTTGTCAGTTTACTAACACTGTTTGTATCACCAATGCAAATTATTTAAACCGCTAAGATGCATATAACTCAGTGTTCCAGAGTTTTTAGCAGAGCTTTGTTGATGAGCTCCATATACTGTTGCTTTGCTTTCTTGTTAAATATGTTTAATAGAACTTGAATTTCGTATTACAAGTCCTTTCTCCTTCAAGATGGTGTTGTCTGTTAGATAAGTTAACTCCTGATGTCTTGTGATAGTATCAAAGGCACCTTTTAAATATAAACCACCTGTAATTAGGCTTGTGCCCATATCCTAACATAATTTAAGTCTATGTTGAGATATGGGCACATATCTGAACATATGTTAGGATATGTGCCCATATCTTAGCATAGACTTAAATTCAAGATACATTACTTTAAAATACATCTTTGTTTAAACTTCAGTTCCTCAGGTTACTCAAATGGAAAGTGCACTGAGGATTTCCATAAATAATGTACACCAGTGTCACTAAAGTGTAAATCTATTTCTGAAATAAGAAGTTCTGTTTCACAGCAAGAAATGTGTTTGAATTGCCTACTTAAATAGGTTAGAGCTGCTGCAGGGAATAATGTTTGTTGCAGCCATTTGTGACTTAGACATAGTTTCACTGAAAATTGTTTAAGTTTTAGTAGTAGTACTGATGGGCAATTTTGTTGTAGATTGCTCAGCTTGCTGCTGCAGTTTGGGCTGTGGGAGCATCTGCAGAGTGGGTATTTCCATAACAAGAAAGTAAGCCAGTATTAGGGCCCTTGCAGCATGAATGATGGTTCAGCTTTTGATTTAACAAGGAGACTAACAGAGAGTTGCTTGAAACCTCACTGTTGTAAGGAAGCATGTTGCCATGTGAGTGTAAATGTGCTGAACCCAGTACAAAGGCAGTGCAGGCTCGAAAGTGAATTTCTGCAGTGACAGCCAATACATTTGTCTGTACATGAGCTACCAACTTTTATTCTCAGTACTGCAAGATCCATTCACCAGGGAGTATTTTTCTCTCTTATGCCTATTGAAATAATTTAATGAAACATTAGAGTTATTTAGCTTTTAAGCATCTGTTGACTTATTGGAGCATTAGCTCTCTTCATAGTGAAATACAAAGCTAACTCAAGCATCGTGACTACCATGGCAGTAGTAATGCTGGTTCTTTATTTGGGCAATAAATATAATTATTATGCAATTTAGCTTAGATTTAGCATTTATGTTGTTTAGGTTAAACCTTGGCATACTTTGTTGTTATATGCAGGTATAGGTTATTCTGTCTGAAGACCTGAGGCTCTGAGCTTACAGTAGAAATCAGTAGCAAAATCATAGAACTCGGTGTGCTTGCAAAGATTATTGCTTTAGCCTTCTCAGATAAAAGGGGCACTTTTCCTTGTTACTTCTTACCTGGTGGATTCTAGTGCTTTACAGGACTCCAAAAATGCTGCCTTAAATTTCTTTCTGTGTGTAGATTTTAGTTCGATATGACTAGAAAGAATGAGATTTTTTTTTTTAATGACTTAAAACCCCCATATGCTGATGTTGTCTTTTCTTGTTTGCATTTTCAGTATTAAACTTTGTTTAAAATATTTTTAGAACTTTTTATAATGTATTGATTGTTATGATGTAAAATGTCAACACTAGTAATGATAAGTATGCTACAGTTCTGAGATCTAATTAAATGCTGTGCTCTTCTGATGACCTTCACATTTTCTCAGTCTCTATATCTTTGCATGAGTTACTAGAAAACCTATGTTATGGTGAATACAGTCTGTCCTTGGCTGTTACAGCTCTAATAAGTCTTAAAATTATTTCCTGCTAAGTATTTATTTTCCGTGCTTATAGAATGTGTAGATTTGTACGTTGTGTGTTCGTTCCACACCAGAAAATTCTTTTATAAGTACTTTGGTGTGTTTATTCTGAAAAAGCAAGTCCTCACCCTCAAGTTTTCTCTCCTAGACATCCCAAATCTTTGGGTTAAAGAGGATTATACCCAGGCAATTTTAAGAATTTAAGTACCATACTGCAGGATAATAGAGTTTTCTTTTTCTTACACATGAACTGGACAGGTGCTATAGTACTGTCAGTGCAATATGAAGAGTGAATGATTAAATCTTATATTTATTGTGATTTCTTGGTGGTTCTCAATACCCTGTTGGGTTGCAAAATCAGCAGTAAGCTCTTGCACAAGAAATCGAATATCTCTCTGCCAATGGAGAGCTATCCCAACAGGCCAGTCTTAGTTACTGCTTCAAAGAGGACTAAAGGAGAAAGGAGAGTTCTGAAGACCAAATGCAAAATAAAACCAAGGCTGTTTTCACATCCTTGGTGACAGTAGGAATCTGAAAGTTTGCACTGTTTAGGCATGAGTGGTATGTCCAAGTCTTGTTTGCATGAATCAGATTCTACTTACACTTTTATTTTTCTCTTCTTTAGTATAATGCTTCACCACAGCAGCAGAGAGATATAATAAAGAGTAGGAGTCTGGACAGGAGGCTACAGGAACCAATAGTTTTAACAAAATGGAGGCACAGCACAATTGTGCTGGACACCAACGACAAGGTAGGAGCAAGCTCAACAACATGCTGAAATACCAGCTGTTTCTGATGTGTGAAGTATTTAATGTAACAGAAATGAATAAGCATGAATTCCTGAAATTTCATTTGTATGTTCTCTTGTATGGTGTACAACGTTCAGCAAAACCAAGGCCTGTTCAGTAACTTTACTACTGTTACTTTGTGAATAGTAGCTCTTTTCATGTTGTCCTTGAAGTATTTTAACTAGTGTTAGTTCAGGGGTTGGCACGCACAGCGATTTTACTTATGACTGTGAATTTCCCAATTCAGTTTAAGCTATGAATTGTAATTAGGGTTTGTATTTGAGAATTATGGATGTGGGCAAGGCTCTTCTGTAAGGTACAGTGATATTTCAAGCCTGAATGTTTTAATTGTAAGAAACAGCAAGTAGAAATACACTTGAAAGATTGTAGATGAATAATTGAAACATACATAGAATTGAAATAAAAGTTGCATTTGCTAAAGTAAAAACTATAACATAAAGATTTAAATAGCAGTGTTATATAGTGTATTTATCTTTTTAATGATGGTTCCATTGAGTGCCACTGTAATATCTCGAGAAAAGAGGAAAAGCTGTGTGTGGTTATTGCAGAGTTTTAATGTTGTTATTGAAGGGCAGAGACGGTACTGAAAGTGCTGAAATGCTTGGCTTTGATCCTGTCCAGAGCTGAGCTGGTGTTTAGTCTGAAAAGACAAGACCTGTGGGTCAGTAAAAACAAAAGCTGTTTTCTGCCCCTTTTAGATAGTCTGTTTTGGGCTGCACAGTAACAGATTCTGCTTAGGCCAACAAGGAGATGGGACCTCTCTCTCCTTTGTTTCTCCCTCTGCCTGTCTCTCTTCACTTTGACTTTTGTCCCAGCCATTTCTGCTTGTGCTGGGACATTCTCCTCACCCACAGGCAGAGTTGATGTGAGCTGAGGAGGGAGGAACTGAAATGGGTGGTGTAGGGTGGTGACTTGCTGGTTTCTTTACTTCACTGCAGTCTGTCCCAAGATTCATGGAAAATGAAATACTTTGTGATGCTGAAATATTAGTACAGACTACTCAGAATGAGATACCAGGAAATGGCATTGTAAACTCCATTTTCCTAAAGATACAAAAAAAAAATGAAATTAATGTAGATTTGGGAGTGTAAGGAAAAGCCTGTGAGTGGGCTTGTGCAATCGCAGATGTCAAAAGCAAATTTAAATGGACAAAACACAGTAGTTGTAATGAAAAGGGATCTGCTACTCAGAACTCTACTTGCTTGGCTTGTTGTTTCCAGTACATTTTCATGGACTTCCTTTTCAGGAGTTGACTTAGGTCTTCAGAATAGGATTTATTGGATTTGATCTTGAGCTTTTGAGTTGTCAGTTTAGAATATATCCTATGTGGTGTTTAGGAGGCAGTGGACCATGGTTGGCTGGGAGTTTGCACCTGTACACATTAGTTTAGCTTGAGCGATTCTGAGATCCCGCTACTGCTCCTTTCCCCTCCTCCTCCTCCTCTTCCTCTGCCTTACACATCCTTCTGTACTCAGTGTGTGTTGTGGCATTGCATGAGAGACAGCCTAGAGGGAGCCCTGATAAATCAAAACTGAGTAGACACTTCTAGCTTCATGTGCAGTTTATGCCTCACAGGTATGAACAATTTTGTTGCAGGTAGCTTAAAGTTTTGACTTTGCTTTTAAAGTAAAACTTTTTAATTCTTGGCATAAGATTTACTTCTGTTTTGAAAAGACCTTCATGTAGTGGTGCACTGAATGAAGAAGCTTTTGTAACACATTGAATAAGTGGAGATGTTTACATTTCTTCAAGTTGCAGTGTTCAGGTATAAAGAACTTGAACACAGTGAAGCAAAGATGAATGTGTATAAATCCTAAGTTTAATAACCAAAAGAAATTGTATACGTCAGCCTTATTTGTAAAGCCTAAGGCAGCAGGCTTACATTCCTTTAACATCTTCAAAGCATGTAGGCAGCATGTATTTTTTAATGGTAAAGAGACTTATAGTTCATATAAAGCACAACATTAATGCTTTGAGAAAGTTAAACATACGTCGTGGAACATTAAACTGTTTTGTGGAAATAATTTTTAGTGCATTAATGTACCTGTTTTATTACCACTAGCGGGCACACTGTTAGTATATTTGCTTTAAATTAGTATGTGGTTTGTTACCATAAATACTGGGTTTCTTGTTCCAGAGTTGCTTACTGTGTGAAAGCTATCCCACATCCAGAATGAAATAGGAAGGAAAACAACTGGTATTTGTCTGGGTAGGCACATGAACTGCAAGTTTGCTTTTTAGCTGACTCCTAGGGAAGCTATCTTCTTTTTACTTATTTTGTTTTCCTGGAAAAACAACACAACTCAGTTGTATGAAAATAGGCCATTCAGAAGAGTACTTGAAATGTGTCAGAGTGAAAGTATGGGTTGCTATGGCTCATGAGAATTTGATGATACCAAACATACTTATTAACAGTTTGTTGGCTGTGGCACATATCTTTGTATACCCATCAGCTAGAAAATTTCATAAGCAGAGGAAAAAATACCTTCCTGGGAGGGACAGTGCTGCTTTTCTTAAACTGAACAATTTTTTTGTCTTTGCAGACATCTGAAAATATGGAACTTTTAGGCTGTTCTTAGGAGTGCTAAAGCTCTCTGTTATTATGCTACTGAAAACTAGTGGGCCACTTCTGTAGGTAGATTTACAAGTGAATTTTAAGGCACAGGTTTGCAGAGTGTTATGTAATGCTGCAAAAGCAAACTGAATTCGGGAGAGTTATCAAGGGAGTTAAAAAGAGGGAGTGGGGAAAATATGTTAATGGTGGCAGAGAAAGTGATGTTTTTCTTCCATTTGAAATTCTTTAACAGATTTTCAAGCAGCATATTTGTTCAAAGTAATCATTACTTCAGAGGAAATGCACATGCCTTCGGTTTTTTTGCTGCAGATGGGCAATTTTTCTAGCTTTCAGAGATTTAATACTTTATTTTTATAAATGGTTAACATTTAGTTTAAAACAAAAACCCAAACCTCTAGAGATTTTTAGTGTTTGATTATAAGGAAATTAATGATCATGACTCACAAAAATTAATAGAATTGGTATATGTTTTTCTACACATATAATGATTTATTATACTAATCTTATATTTACTAACCACACAGACATATTTTGTTCTTTAAAATATTAGTATTTAGTATGTGATACCCTGTAATAAGTAAATATGCTTCATAATTTGAGAGCAGTGTCATACAAAAGATCTACCCCTTAATAAGGATGAAGGTTTGCTTTAAGCTGATACAGCATGTATTAACATTTTTTTTCAAATGGTTATGTATTAATTAACCCAATTTGAGTGTTGTCTGTAAATCTTGTAAGGACACTGTTTAGTTAGCAAGTTTACAATATTGCTATCTGAGAATGTCATGAGTGATGAAAAGAAGTACTTTTTTTCCTAATGTATGAATATGTAAAAAGAGAGAGGGAGAAAGTATCTTTAGGGTTTAAAAAAAAAAAAAAGAAAATAATTGTAAGAAAAATAATAACTTATACTGACTATTTGAATTTTATAGGAATCATCAACTGCTTCTAAGACCAGCTTTCCTGAAAATGAGTCCTCTCCTTCTTCACCAAAGCATCAAGCCACAGTCAGTATGCAAAGTGTTTAAATAGATAAGTAGATGTTGTAGAAACTGGGCTATTCATGACTAGGGATTTGAGGGTAAGCCTTCTTGTTGTTGAGAAAAATAATGGGATAAAACAATTTGAAGGCTTTACATTTTAAAAGGAATGCTTTACATCCAACTCTGCTTTCAGGAAAAAATGTGAATTTCTTTGGTTTAAATGCAATTTAGTAATACGAGATTGAATTAGAAATTCACCATGGAATAAAGTTATGTCTAATTATGTAGAACTTGGTTTACTTTCTCCAACAGTCACCTCTTCTCATCTAGCATCTTGAGAGGTAAAAACAGAAACAAATTCCCCCTCTTCACAGTATCCCTCACTGTCAGTAGTCAGTAATAGTTTGTAGTATTTGATATCTCTAATTTTGACTTGATTCAGTCTCCTTAAAGAGACAGAGGACCTGGCATAAATAAACTCTGTCCTTTTGATTTAGTAAAATAATTAGTGGGTGAAAAACCTAAGCCTGTCCAACCCGTTATGAATGTTTAACAGATTTTTTAATATCAGTTTATATTTTAAACGTGATTCCTTTTTTAACAACAGGGAATAATTAAAAAAAATGAAGGTTTTATCCTTTTTATTTTGGAACTGTACTACAGCAGTATTGAAATAGGTAACTTGATCAATTTTACCAGCCCTTTAGTAGGAACCTCAGGGCATTAAAGGCACAACTTCTCTAGTTTCATTCTTACTCTGCATGCGGGGGAATGGTTCTCTGGCTTATTCATGATAATCAATTCTTAGAGCTCTTCAAACAGTTTTTCACAGTAAAATAAACATTGTTTATTGAGCAAGCATAGTTGATAGCCTTACAAAAAAGGAACTATTGCTGCATGTGATCCAATTTCTTTAAATATGGCTCAGACCTTGCATTTCTAAACTTGTGTTTTTCAGAAAGGCTCACTACTACTTTAGATAATAGAAAAAAAAATCCATATTTTCTTTAACTATCACCTGGGATTTAAATATTCCAAAGAAAACTGGTAAATTTTTGAGTATTTTCATCCTTAACTTGCTTTCCACTTCTTTTTCCTGATTACATTAATTTTCCCGTTAGTACCCCCTAGTGTTGCTGCTAAGTAGGGCATTATGATACTTTTTCTGAATAGCTCTTCTGTGGAGCATCCCCACTGGTCCCATCATGAGTAATTTATTAAAACCATAATTTATTTCAGAAAGTACAGGTTGCTCAGTCACTGCGAAAGATGGTGAAAGGCTGTTCTGCTTATTAAAGCCAAAGGCCAATGAAGATATTAATTGAGTAAGAGTAATAGTTACCATTGGACTGAAATAACATCTGATCCACCAGCTAAACACCTTTGTCCTTTAACATGTCCTTTCTGTATTTAATGTGCTGGGTTTGAAACATGTAGGTAAAATTTTTAAAGTTCATGAAAAACAGATCCGTGTCTCTGGTAAGAGTGTTGTCATGGTATTCCAGCAAAAAAAGGTTCTTCAATATAGTATTCTGCAGTCAGGGTCCACTTAAATTTGAGATTTAGAGGAGAATGCTGAAGAAGATTTATCTTGTGTTTTCATTTTATCTAGAATTGAAGTCATTTTTTTAAGGATAAAACTAATTTGGATACTTTCAGTAGTTGATTGTTTCAACTAATAGCTTAGTTCATAAATGAAGTTAGAAGCTGTTACTGAAAAGGAATTGATTAAAAAAATAATGTAATATTCTTTTAGCACCATTGACTGGGATGACAGGAGAAAATGATAGAATGTGATAACTCATCTTGAGATGATGGTATAAATGAATGGTTTTACTTTTTATCCTAGAATGCTTTTTCAAATGTTCCGTTATATTATTATTTTTGCACAGAAACTAGAAATACTCACTCCAGCTATTTGAAACCTGCAAACACCCTTCTTGTTCAGCAGTGTTCTTTTTCCACCCGTCACTGACTGATCTCCAAATTTTTTAGTAGGCATACTAATATAGATGGTTTTCATCAACAAGACATAACTAAGTAGTTTAAAATTCTAATATTTTCCTTGGGGATAGGAAAAAAAAAAATCAAAGAAATGTTTCTCTCATCTATTTTTAACATGAATATGTTAGTATTTTCATGCACTTCAACCATGTTTTATTTAAAATATGAAATTGTGTTAAAATTACTTGAAGAATTTGTCAGGGAATTTAGGCTGTTTGTCAGCCTTTTTTAGTAAAGGACAAAAACACTAATGTGCTATTACACAAATAATTATAAATTTACGTTCATAATTTCTACTGTTTTCTATCACAAATTATTTAGTTTAGTGTGTCCAAATAACCTAGGTCTTGATGAAGGAAAGCTTTTTACCCTCTGAATGGTAATGAGTACTTCCCCAGAGGAATTTTGATTTTGCTCATCTCTGCATATTTAAATAGGCTTAAAGACAGTTTCTTGAAGTTATTGCATGGGTAAAGATGGCTCCTTGCCAGCAATCGATTATTTGGGGGATTGAATTTGGTGATGTGATGTTAATACAATCAGATTTTCTTTTATATTTCTTATATCTTACTCTTACAGGGCCAAGAAAAGTATGGTTTATTAAATGTGACAAAAATTACAGAAAATGGGAAGAAAGTTCGGTAAGTCTTGGACTTCTAGAAGTGCAGGTGCTTAAGGTTTGTGTAAAGTCTCTTATGTTAGGACAGCATGCTGGGATTTGCAGCTTCTTACTTTTTGTCTGAATTTGCCTTAGAGGCTTTCCTGTAGGACACAGTGTTAATCTTATCCCATGTGTTTCTCCCAGTGAGCTAAAGAAAATGGACTTCAGAGAGCCAGAGGCTCATGTATACCAGGACTTCACACAAGGCAGGGAATTCATGAAGGTGTATTGAGGAGCTTTTTAAAATGAGATTGATCGACTGATTTAAGAGAAAATCTGTATAGGATATAGACTGTCTTGTTCCTTGGATAGAATTGGTGTAAGAGGAGCTTTCAGAGTTTCACTCCATGTCCTGTAATTTCCAAGAAGTGTACATGCTATGTGCTCCTTAATTCTTCCTTCACTCTGCATGTGAAGGGTTTGAAGCAGTGTAACACCTGACATCAGTCTCCCTGTAGGTGATGAGTGACCTCATTTCCAACTTCCTTTCTCTGCCTCCCAGGCAGGCATTTGCACTAGAAATCATAATGTGTAATCAGATAGTGCTGGCTAACATACATTTCTAGTGTTTTGCAGAGTCAATGAAAAATACTGCATAAGTGTGGCACATCCTCAGACTTAATTTAGGTTTACTTTTTGCCTTTTTTGCCTTTTTTTAAAATTTAATCTTTTAGATCTAATATTGTGTTACCTCTAGTTCAGTGTTTCTGAGACTTCTGGTACATGAAGAATGCTTTTCCTGAGGATTAAATAATCAACAGCCAGCTGATATTCTAGAGCCACCCTGACCTAGTCCAGTGGAGCTGAACAGCACATCTGACCTCCAGTTTGGTTCCACAGGGATGCTCCTAAGAGCTCAGTAGGACAGAGTGGACAGTGGCTTATGTAAGCTGCTACTGGTGCAATATACTGTCACCATTTCTGTTGCATCTGTTGGAGTCACTGGTCTGGATTACTGCTGCTGTACAGAAAAATGCAACATGTCCACCCTGTCACTTTGAGAGCTGCTGAGTCATAATTTATGTTTGGGTAATGGGGATAGATATTCAGGGCTTGTCAAGGCTTTCTTTTTTTTTTTTTTAAAAATGACCTCAGGAGGACAGGTCCTCAGACATAAGATCAAATAGACAACTGAAACAACTCATTTGTTCTTAATTTCCTTAATTTTTTTTAGATTATTACATAAATATGGGACACTTGCATTTGAGATGTGATCAATGAATTTCAGAATTGTGCAGTACTTTAGCATGATCTGTTAAGTACACATTAGGCTGAGCGGTCCAGATTAGCCCCTTTGAAATTATAATTGCATGGTGTTTCTCCTGGTGAACTGCTTCCACTACTAATTAGCTTTGTTTGATTTAGACTTTGATGGTCAGGCTGGGGCTGTTAACATACATCCCCTTCTACAAATATGATAGTAATTAAGACTTACTGATGCCACTAATGACTGTATATGCGCTTAAGTATATTAACATACAGGTCAGCTGGGCAACAATGATGGGCAGTTTAAATATCTACTTTCAAAGTCAATTTATTTTGTTTGTTTACAATTATTTACAGAAAGAATTGGATGTCATCATGGGCAGTGTTACAAGGGTCGTCACTGCTGTTCACTAAAACCCAAGGAAGTGGAACTGGCTGGGTAAGCTCAGGAACAACCCCCACCCTCACTGAAGTGTTAGTCATGTAAAGCACAATAAATTAAAGCTCTCTTATTTGTATGGCCTAGATACCAATATATATACACACCTAATTTAGAAAAAATAAGAGCGTGTAAGTTGGCAAGAAAATAGTTTAATGTAACAATTATGATGTACCGTAAGAAGGAAAACAGTTGTACTTCTGTGTCTCTATTTGACAAGTAAGAAACTGATAAAGAGGTCTTCAGGTGCCCTGTAGGCTTGAAGTTTTTGCTCCAGAACAGATTTTTTTGTGTTCCTTATTAATGTGTTTGTCTGAACAGTTTGTTTGTTTTACCCTTCTTGGATATCTTTTCATAAACTCCAAGTAATTTTGAATGTGACACGTGTAATAAAATAGTCTGACACTTGGCTTCTTGTGTTGGCCTATTTGAGCAATGTCATATTGTTGTCTTATAATTTAGTCTTTGTCTTGCTGGATTCCATATCTTGGTTTAGATCTGCTTAGAGCATGGCAAATGCTTGTTTCTATTTTGTTGTCTGATGAAGACCTAAAGAGAAACATCACATTGAAGATGATGATTATTCAGTTTTTTATGTCACCTCTAGGGTAATAGCACAATAATTAAATTGGCTATATTTATCCAGCTACATTCCTACAATAATAGGTATAGAAATGGCTTTTTATCTATGCCTTACTTACCTACTTTTGAAGGTCTGACATTAAACTCTGTAGATCTCCTGCAATAACTAAAGACAGGCCAGATTCAGTGTTGGTTATTTTGGTGTATTATCATATGAATTCCAGCAAAATTGCCTGTTACACATAATGCTATCTTGCTGTTCTTTACTGATTTTTCTACTTGACTCACTTTCTTCTGCTCTTCATTTTGGGTAGTGAATTGGAATTGACAATTCTTTTCTATAGCATTGAGTCCATTTCAGAGCTGTAAACATATTCTTTTTCCCCTTCTGCAGAAAGGGTGGTTGAAAAAATTGAGTGAGGATGGATAAATGAAATTTGGAGTAGAAGAGAATAGAAAGGGTAAAGTTGGCCAAGATGGTCAAGCAGAGGGAAAAGAAAGGAAAGAAAAAACGTAAAGATGAAAATCATGTGAGAAGGTAAATTATGCTTTATGGTAGGAAGTGGATTTTGGTGACTTCTGCAATTTACTTTTTTAGCTAAGGATCCAAAAGTATTTTAGTTTTAGAGGTGTAAATATGCTTGTTTAGAAAGTAAAACATTTTGCCTGAATAACTAGTCAAGTTCCAGAGTCTTGATTACAGCTACTAATAGTCTTCATCCAAATGTAGCTGTAGATCAAAAAGCCTTTTTTTCAGCTATGTGTTATTATCATTAAACACACAATGCCAAAGTGTTCATGAAGGTATGGTAATGTTACGGGTGATGTGTGCCCAAATGAATTATCCATAAAAGATAACCAATAAACAGAGTTGCATGGTTTAGTTGCACCAGTGTAAGGTGTATTACACCATCCAAGTGTAGTCATTTGGTGGGAAAAATAAAAAGGCATAAATTCTTTTGATGATTTGAGTGGCACAAAAATACCATAGACACAATATTTTTGTGAGACTCTGTCAGTTATGTGTACTATGAAGTATTAGAGTAGGGTCAGCAAAATGAGTATCAACATTATAAACAATAAAGTGAAGCTGGAAATATTAAGCGAGAAACTCTTTCAAGGACTGAGTGTTGTGTATCTGCATACTCACAGTTGGCTTTGTAAATAATTAAGTATTCAGCACACACTCTTTTTGCTCTCTGTAGGAAATTTTTTTAGGGTATTAAAAATCCCACCTCCCCTCTCAAACTTGGTTCTGTGTGCATATTTTAATAAGGTGACGTCAAGTCTAACAGTTTGACATAAAGAATTACATTTCTTATTCATCTTACAAGCAGAACATTTATTTAGCATTCGTCTAGTGATTGATATAACCATATCTTCTTTTTTTGTGCATTGTTTTGTGACTTCATCACTTTTCTTCCTTTTTCTCATCAAGTCATTTTGCCAAGTGGGCTCAATTCCTGAGCTCTTGCTCTCGCTGCTTTCTTCTTGGAAAAATGCTCTCAGTCGTCGACCTGCTGTCACCTATGTAAACTCTGCCCAAGTTTCAGCTATCACTGTATGTGCTCTTGTTGCATGCCTCGTGTCGCTGTAAGGCTATTTGCCACTAATCCTGAAAGTAAACTTGAATTTTTCCAAGATTTAGTTTTGACACTTCATATAACACCTCACATATCTTGTTTGCTGTTTTTGAAAGTCATCCAAGGTGAAAATTAACACAAGTGTATTGCAATAATCCTGTAATTGTTCTACTGGAACAAAGCAGAAAGTGTATCTGGTTCATTGGTGCCAGAATTATAATCCCAAATTTGCCTACTATTTGAACCACTAGTGCCTTGACTAATAAGTAGCATGATATGGTTAGTTTTTTAACAGATATTTTATGTCTGATTCTTTCTAACACAACTAATTTAGAATCTTTGTATGGTGCCTATGATAACTTTGATACAATGATGTAACTGTTGTTTGATAATTTTAGCTATAATTGGAATATCCAAAAATGTAAATGTTATGCATAAAGAGATGAAAGAAAAAGAACACAGAGACATTTTTGTTATATTCCACATATAGAAAGCTGATGTAAATTTTGTAGGGCTCTTTTTATATATAATTTAAGCATCTGTAGTTATGTTTTGAAGTCTAGATGCCAAGCACAGAAGCGCTGCTTATCAGAAACTCATAAAATGTTGGTAGCTAATATGGTAGCTTGTTGCTCGAGGTGAATGAGGAGGAATTTATATATTAATACTAGTGTTAAAAGTAAGTTCTGAAGCTCCCTTACCAGCCACAAAGGAGTATTTGTCTCCTCAGCTTTCTTTCTGCAGTGCATCCTTGGGTGAGCAGGACTTGGAATTAAAACATTCCACCCAGCTCTAATTAGAAACAGAATTACAAGAAAGCCAGGTGTCATTTGCACATCCAAGGTCTTTGCATAAATAACATCCAGTTCTGTTTCCAAAGAATGCTGGAGTATGTCACAGTACAGACTGTGTGGCTTGTCCTGTGCAGGCGTTCAGGACTTAGAGAAACTCCTGAAAATTATCCTATTTATTGTGTCAGTATACATCTGTCCTTAAGCTGCACAGCATCTACTATATGCAAAGCAAAGAAAACACCCTATTCTTTCCGAAAAATAAAAGATATCTCAGCATAAGCACATCCTGTGACTGTTTTTTTCTTTTTAAAAAAGGCTGTCAGAAGTGACTGTAGGGACAGCTTCATATCCAAGACAGCTGGCAGCACCACGTGTAGACTTCTCCCTCTTTCTACCTCACACTGCTGCCCTTTCCAAACTTTCTAGACAGCTCAGAAGAGAAATCCGGTAAGGATAAGGTGTCTGACTGGTGCTGACTGGGTAGTACACTCTGTTTGGAGAAAGCAGACTTAATGGCTGTGTGGCAGCAGTTGCAAAGGGAAAGGCTTTTTTTTTTTACTTCTGTCAGCACAATCTACTTGCTTCAGGAGGGTTCAATTGCCTGTAGCTGACCTTTGTAAGGAGAGTGTCTGAGCAGCCCTGTTCAGGACTTGCTCCTTGAAGCTTTCAAGGAGGGAAATAGCTGCTGGCATCTCATTTTCATAGACTCACAAACAGAAAAGAGCCTTGACAGTAAAGCTCATAGGAGAGCCTGCATGGTAAACTTAAAATGTCCTGGAATAGAAAAGTTAAGTTTGTGAATAATTATGTAATATATTGGTATATCAGAAGAGCTTTGCAGTGAGGCTGAATTATTTGCATGGGTTTACCTAGCCTTGGATGTCACACAGCAATTTGGCCACCATTTGAGTGAAGAAGTGGGGGGAGACTTCTTCTTTTTTCCCTCTTTTTTAGCTTCTAGTTTTTGCTTTCTTCTGTGCTTCTCTGAAATGCTGGAGTCAGGCCAAAATGATGGGTGGAGTGTAAAGGTGTTGGAGGTAGTGCTGCGATCTCTCAGTTGTGGAGTTCAGCAAGCTAAGTATTGGAGGGCTTTCCTTTTGGTCAGAGCAGCAGTGACTTGTATTTTTGTTGTTGTTGTTTGTTCACTTCACCTGCAGCAGGTCCTCTCCTCCTCTCCTGTGCTGCTCAGCATCATCTGGGTCGTGTTTTTAACTAATCACACGCAAACTCTCCCCACCCACAGTCCCACAGTGGACTTTGGCACCAGCTTCCTGCTCTCTCCAGTGCCAAACTCTATAAATTGATTTGAATTTTTTTCCAACACGCAGCAATATTGATCTAGGCTGCCAGGAAGTGCGTCTGGGACGCTTTTGTTGTGTGTGCAGCAGTTATGTGACATTCTCTTGAACAGGCAGCTGCTGCAAGAGCCACAGTGGCCCAGAGATTGTTCCTGTGGAATCCACTGCTGAGCTGGGACTCTCTCAAAAGCTCTATTATAATTAACAAGAAATGTTCTTAGATGAGATATCTGAGATTTAAGTTAGAAAGGGAAAAGTGGTGGAGTTTTTTTTCCAAGTGCTAATTGGCATTGGGTAAATTAGGAATACTCCCCTTCTCTGATATTTCAGGGGTAAAATAAAGAACTTAAGATGCTACTTTCCATTCAACACTTCATTGCCCTTAGGACTCAAGGCAGGGAGATTTTTCAGTGGTAAACAGCCTTTCTAAAACACAATTAGCATTAATTAACATCCATGCTGGGAATTTAATCAGAAGCAGCAGATTAGTCCTGTTTTCTGAACCATTTTTTTTCTCCCCTTGGATATGGCTGTTCTTGTACAGGCTGGAAGCTTGTGTTTGCAACAAGGAGCTTGTCCTGGGGCTTAGGTCCCCCAGAGCTGTCACAGGAGCAGCATTCACACATCAAAGACTTCTTAAAGGAATAGAAAAGAGCCTTTCTGATGGAGCAGATGCTACAAGCTTTCCCTGGAACTACAACATTAAATTTCTGTGCTATAACTCAGTGACTTACAGCTTTTCCTGTTCCATATTTTACTCACAATTAAAGCTTTTTGTTTGTATGGGCCACTGAATTGCATTCCTTCAGGAATTGCATTTCAAAGCTATGTGGTGTATGTTGAAATCCTAGTGAAAGTACTTTATTTAAAAAAATTTAGATAGCTAACATAGATGTAAAAGTAGTAGGTAAAAATAACTCCTTGATGTTTGCTTCCAAATTCTTTGAAGGGTTACTTGTGGGTTAAATGTTTCAGGGTTTTTTTTGTTCATTGCTTTGGTTATTTGCTGTTTATTTGGTTATTTGCTAGTTTAGTAGCTAGACAGTGAGTTCTGTTTACTTGGTAAGATATGCCCTAGTATTGCAATGGAAGCACTACAGAAAAATATAAAAGCATTGGGACGTAAATGTTTTTAAAAAAATAATAAATAAAAATGTATAGATAAATGTAAAAACTGATAGTGCTCTTTCAGTGTGGAGGGATGTGATTTCTGTCTAGCAAACCCACTGTCTGGTTTGATTTTTGGTTTGATATACAACCACTGATTAAGTGACAATGTTTGGGGTTTTTTTTGTTCAGTTACTTATTAGCTAGTTTTGTTTAAAGCTTGTGACTATCTTGATTAAAATCAAGCTACAGTCAAATGCTGTTTGGACTTCTACCATTTCTGATAGGCAAAAAAGCTCTGCTGGAATCTGATCAGCACTTAGTTATGGAATTTTGAAGGCTTTAATTTGAGCAGCTTGTAATAGATATGCTTACAGGGTGTTCAGTGTAAGGTTTTTTGTTTTCCTGGTATTATGCCTGTGGATTTGTGGCAAAGTACTGTATTTGGGTTAAGTTGTATAGACTGTAAATAACAGTGTTGTATTTAGGGGATTGCCAGATTGTGTATCTGTAAGGAATTTCTTTGTTTTTAAGTTTGACATCATTGTTCCTGTTTTTTTCCAGAAGTTTGGTGTCAATCAGTCTAAGCCAGAATTTACAGTGGATCTCAAAGGGGCGTTGATTGACTGGGCCTCAAAGGACAAATCCAGCAAAAAGAATGTTATTGAGGTGAATTATTTCATTTAAATGAAGAAATCTATGCACTTCAATTATTGATGTAAGAGGTTTTTCCTAAATTAAAATCAAAACCTCAAAAAAATGTTTTTTTTATCCATTTCTACCAGCTTAAATGTGTATGGTATCTTTAGTACTTGCAAGAAATGTCCATTTTAAATATTTTTATATGGGATATGCCTTTCAATTTTAAGCAGATTGTTATTTACTGTTTTCACTGGTAAGTGTTCTTGAGTGGCTGTGTATTATCTAAGTTATGCCAGGGAGAAGTTTAATTTGATTTGGATAATTTCACTTTTGAATTGTAGTGTGTTTATTAATTCTAATGGTATCTGTTTTTATTTCTTTAAAGCTAAAAACCCACCAAGGAACTGAGCTCTTAATTCAATCTGATAATGACGGCTTTATTAATGAATGGTATAAGGTTCTTAACTATACCATCAATAATCAGGTATGTATTTGAGTCATGAAGGCTCTATTTTCAAGGTAATATTATTTAGTAAACTGATTGATGTAACAACTCCTGATGCTCCATGTACATCTTCATTTACTGATCTTCTTGAGAGTGAGCAGGAGTTTGAGGATATGGTGACAAGTGAAATATAATTAATAGTGGCAGAGGAAGAACGATGGTCCACTGGATTAAGAAAGAGAAAGCGTGGGCTGACCTCCATCTCAGAAATGAACTTGCTTTTGTGGCCAAATACTTGTCTGTCTCAGTGACCTGAAAGGTTCTGACAGAGAGGGAATGAAGCAGGGAGTCTGGCTGAGGGGATGCTTCGTGACACATTTGTCCTCATTTGATAGTGCTGTTCACTTAGTAAGGCTGCACTAAAGTGCAAATTAAAAGCCCTGGCAAAATACTGTATTATCTCTTCCTGTCTGACAGCATAGTGCTAACTACTTAAATATCAGAAAATGCTTGAGCATTTGATCTAGATATTGCCAAACAAGAAGAACATTTTTTTAATTCAGAAGGAGCAGAAGGAGATTTTGGAAAAAAAATTCCTCTCATACCAAGTTTTACTTCATATGTATTCTTATTTTTTAATAGTTACAGATTGGCTGCTACCCATTATCTCCATTTTATGTTACTTTCAGTGCTACTCAGTGGCCTTCATTTCTCTTGGCTCTGATGTTTTTCACACATGGCTGTTTTCCACCAAAACACAGCAGGCTAATATGAGTAGTTCAGTTTCTTTCCGAGTGCTCATGGTTTAGACTTCTAATCTGCTTTCTCGTGGTATGAAAATGTCATGACCCCTTATTAGCCAGGGAAGGCAGTGACTCAGCGACAACCTTCCTTCTGGCCTGTGTAACACCACTGAGGCCACTTCTTTCCTGCTTAAATGCAAATGGAGATGAAAAGGCTGAGATATGCTGAGATGTGAGTGAGATACTACATGTTAGGTTGAGGAAGTGATAGTGGAATAAGAAGAGTTTATCAGCACTCTGGAAGAAATGGTGATGTATTATTACTGCTGGGAGCTGGTAGCCAAGAGACCCAAGATAACAAGGCATAAGTTAAAGCACGTCAGACTATGTGATAACTTGGAGCACTGAAGCTTTGGGTACAAATATCCATCAGATCTAAAGCCAGCTTTTAATTTTGGAAAGCTTATGGTAATAGTAGCTGTGAATATTTTTCCCATGATCAAGGCACTAGTTCCTAGTGTGATGAGATCTTCCTCAAAAGAAGGGGCAGATGAGATTCTGTTCTCTTTGGTCCTTTGCTGTTGTGGCAATATGCTGTGCAAGAGGAATAGCTGCCTACAAAGGATGTGACAGCTCTTTTTTGCATACAGAAATTTCCAAGTTATTAGATTAGATTTGTTACATAATATAAATTAGATTCCAGGTGATTTTTTTTTCCCCAGAACAGTTACTAGGTTTAAAATGTGTGAATCCTAAAGAGCTTTGAGGCCTCATGAGGAATGGCGGAGGATCCTTGGGGACATGAATTGGGCAGTTGAATAAATTGGTCTTTGTGTAAAAAGGCTATCCAAAGTTTTCAAAAAGGAACAAGGAATGAAGGTGTTTAAAGCCAACACCTGCCCTTTGAGTTAAAATGCAACTTAGTGAAGTCATGCTGCTACTCACTGAATGCTCTGTAGTACACAACTGTCTTATTTTTAAAAGGTCCTTCCTTGTAACAGAAGGCACTCTATGGTTAGATTTTGGTAACTGTGTAGGCAGTCTAGTTTACAGTAAAAGTGAAGTAAGAAAAAATGTGGTTTTGAAAGGGAATATGTTGTCCTGAAACCCGAGGAAGTTTCTTTTCCCATCTCCTGATGTGCAGTCACGCACATAGCATAGGTATGAGGCTGCAGATGTACAGATTACCCGCCTCCACACTTCAGTGTGATCTACATTTTCACTTGACAGTGTTGAATGAGAATATGCTGAGATAGCAGTAACACAGGACAAGAATTTTAGGCAGGGGTACATTTAGTTTTTCAGAGTGAATTCAGTGTATGTTTTGATGGTAGTGAAATTTTCCAGTTGGTAACCCTGATTTCTATAAAGGAAATTTTAGTTACAGAGATAAGAAATTAGGTAAATGCTCTAGAAGTGTTCAACTCTTATCAGTCAGGCATTTTTATAGCAGACCATTAAATAGCTTATGTTTGTCTATTGGATTTGGAAAATAAACCTAACCAAAAATAATTTCTATTGTTTATTGGTTGATGTAATGAAGTGTTATCATGAAGGACTGGTTGTACTTTGTTCAGTGTCCAGCAAAACTTTCTTTATTGAGTCTTATGATGAAACAGTGTTTCTTGAAGTAATTCACTCTGCCAGAAATGGTATCATCTCTGAAGAGACATTTAACACCTAGAGTTCAGGAAAGAACCAACTGAATATCATTATGGGAGGAAAAATGATGTATTGTAGAACTGTCTACAGGAAACCTGTGTGTTAATGCTATATTCTGTGAACTGGCAAACTGATCACTGTGTATCTTAAATCTAATAGGTAATAGAACCTGATGAACCATTAGAAGATGAGGTACCAGATTCTCCTGGGGTGGAAAAACAAGACAAAGAGAAAGAGAAGGAGAATAAAGACTCTAAGAAACTTCGTTGTGAGTTGAAATTTTTCCATCCATTTTTTCTAGCAATGCCAGTTTTCATTTTCTGCATCTTCATTATTACGTGTAAATAGGGAAGAATTCAAAAGGACAGATAAAAATGAAACTACTCAAGTTTGGAAACAGCTTTTATATAGTTCATTCTGCATCCTAATGCCATTTGGTAAATTTTCTTCCATGTTTTATTGATCAAATTTTTTAAAAAAAGTGTGAAATGTCTTTATCTTCTACTGTATAACACATTAAAAATGGTAAAATAAGTGGCAGTGAAATGAATTATTTTTGAGTGTCAAATGCACATTTGGTGTCAAATGCACAGAAGTAATTAGGTGTTTGTTTTATCTGACTTTTATAAATAGTTTTGAATAAGAATTCTTTTGTTGATCTACTGATTATAATAGTTTTACTTGATTTTTATCTGGGGCACGGCATCTATAAATATTTGCACTGTTAGCTTAAACTGCAATTACACTAAGTTAGTAATGATGTATTGGCTGATTTAGAGAAACTAAACATTTTTAATTACAACTTCAGAATTTTGGAGCTAAATTTCTTTAAAATGCAGAAATTAACTTCCTGTGCACAGAAAAATTAATCAGGCAGACTGTTTTTTTTCCAGGTCTTATATGTAATTTTCAAGAAAATATTTATTTCTTTCAAAAATAGTTAACCTAATGAGATACAAGACAGGTTTGCAAACATAGCTGTATTTTTAAAATCCCACATTGATTCCTTATGTAAGCTACCATTTAGTTGGCTTTGCAGGTTTTTTGTGACAGGGTTGTCTTAGTGATTTGAAAACTGGATACTATTTACAAGGAGTTCCAAAAAGTTAAGGTAAAAATTGTGGATGCATTGCAAATTTGAATAGCTTTTTAATGTATCTTGGAGCTTAATTCTTTTTTTTTTTTTTTTTTTTTTGTAATGTTGGTTTCTTGGCTGATAAATGCAGTGTTGGTTCTGTGGCTAGTAATGCTAAATGTGTTTCTCTTTTCAGCAGTGAAAGCACCTAGCAATATAGATTCCACAGATCAGAAAAAGACCAAAACGAAGCTCAAGAAGTTTCTTACACGGCGCCCCACGTTACAAGCCGTCCGTGAAAAAGGCTACATTAAGGGTAAATGAACCTTTTTAACAGAGGAAATAATTTGGAAAGCTGAGTTTTGTAGTTCATGTGTAAAATGGGGGTTAAAATGGTCTAGTTCCAGAGTAAAATACATGTGTATAGTTTGTTTAACAAAAGTCTTGGATGTATAGTGGAACTGGTGATTGACTGTTGTACTTCTTGAGCGGTGCTATGAGCCATTAAACTGCACAGGGGTTTATGAGCAATGAGCTCTCCTTCAGCTCACTGCTGGCAAAACTGCAGTGAAAATTGAGGGCCTAGGAGCCCATTTGGACTTGGACTCTCTAGCTAAGAAGCACTGCATTTCACTCTTCTGAGTTGTGCATATAAGGGGAAGAAAACCTTTTGGGTACAAAGCTGGGTGCATGTGCTCACCTGTTTCACAAGGGTGTTTTAGTCTGTGTGGAACCAGACAATTGTGCCATCTCATAAGAAATGAGATATTTAGGCAAACCAGGACAAGGTTAAAGGAATCCTACCTTAAAACATTTTTCCCATAACTTTTTTTGAATGTATACATTGTTTTGTTTCACAAACAATGGATCTTACAGATACTCTTGAGTGAAAGTTATGAAAGAGTTGATTTCCTTTTGTCACGCTTGTAGAAACTTTCAGAGAACAGTATTTGCACAGGTTTAAGTTGATTTGTTTGTGTAAATTATTGACTTGGTACTCACTGTAAAACTTCATTTATTTATTTATTTGTATGCTTTAGCAGGACTTGTAGATGGTGCTCTACTAGGGTCAAAATAGCATATGGGTAGGCAAATACCAGACCAAATCCTACTGTAATTTGCCTAACTACATACTTTAACAGGTGTGCTTCTGTTGCATGTGGTGTTTGATATATTTGTGTATCTGCAAATATAATATAACTGTAAATGATGGAAATTTTGTTTGGGATAAGGAGGCATTATTCCCAGACTTCAACATTTTACTCTGCTTTACAGCTTAGTATTCATGTCATGGCTCAGTGACGTAACTTTTGACATTAGCAACAGTAAACACTAAGCCAAGTTTAATTTGTACATGTGCATGCTAATGATTGGATTTTTAATAAAGACATTAAGGAATTAAGAGTTTGTTTTTATTTAAAAGCATGGTGTAAATTTTAAAAGTTGGATCTGCACTGTACAGTTTTACATTTGTTGTATGAATGAAGAATACAGAAGTCTTTATTTAAAAGACCAATGTACTTTTGTGGCTGCTACAGAACAAGCTTAGTAAATAGAAAGCTTGGCAAACCCAGTATGAGCAGAAAAAATAGTGAAAAGTTCTAGAAAGAGAAATCCCTTGAAACAGCATGCACTAAGTGGAAAAGTAACTGTGCTAAAGTTTTTTGTCACATGGAAAAGCCAAAGTACAGAAGTTACTTTTGAGATAAGAAGAAAAGGTATTATTCCTGTGTATGTTGAAATTAATAAAGTCAAAGGCAATTGTAGCAAATTACTTTGTTACATGCTACTATTTTCTTCTGCTACCTAATCTGCACTGCTTTACCTGCCACAGCTGCATGCTAACCTGGCTTTCTACTGTGTGCACTTTTTCAGTCCTTTGCTACTGATTCTGCTTATACAGCTGGCTGCGTGAGTAGCTACAGCAGGGCTCCAGGTGGTCTAACCTTATATGTATATGCTAATAGTATCATTAAATGCCCGTTTTCATACTGTATAGTTGGTTTGGTGTGCTGTTTGGATTTCCCAAAGCAGTTGTCAAGATGCAAGAGTTGTTAATGAATCTACTTAAATTACTAAACATGAAAAATGGAAAGGAAGTAGATACTATGCATGATGTAAATGCAAGAGCAGTCTCTGCAGAAGCTCTGAAGTAAGATATGCTTCATTCTGGGAAGATGGCCACTTACATACCTTATTTAACAGGTTAAAAAACCAACCAAACAAAAACCTTCTTCCCTTTAAGAGTGTGAGCTTTGCTTCTCTGTCTCATGCATCTGAACAGAGGAGGCCGTCTATTATTTGGTCATCTTTGATGAAAGCCATAGAAATGGGTCTATTAAAGGGTTTGGTGATAACATAATTGAAATAAGAGGAATCAACGTTGCTGAAATTCAGAGAGATGTTGCAAGATTCTCTTCTTTGCCCAAGCTGTATTTCATTTAGCTCCAGTCTATGATAGAAAACACTCCCCCTGGATTCTGTAGTTTTGAAAACAAGACTCAAATTTATCTTTGACCATAAATATCTACATTTAGATTCTGACCTTGCAGAGAGGTTGCCTATGCATGGTCACATTTGTATCCATTCAGAACTCTGTTAAGGTTTTTTTACAAATCTATATCAGAACTTAAAAGTGTTAGAAGACTATACATTAAAGTAAATTGATACATATTGCTGTGTTAAATAGTAGGTTCAGTGAAAGAAATTTTACATGGTTTTTCCCCAAGGAATACCTAAAGCTTTCACTCTAGTTAAAGCTTATTATCTCTGTTCACATTTTTAACAAAGATTACAATAAATATATTTTGAAGTCAGAACAGGAATGGAGTGTAACAGGACACGTTTGAATCCATTGCATTTCTCATTATATTATTAACTGTATGACTCTTACAAGTACCACCTGATGGGTTAAAATTATTTCAGTAGCAAAAGTTCCTTATTCAGAGGTTCACATTTGTGTAACTGCTGACACTCTTTCTTACTGGGAGCTTTTTCTCGCTGGGAGCTGCTGCAAACTCTTTCCAAAACTTTCCTATTTCCACTCCAATACCGTGACAATTGTATCCAGTAGTCTTTGCCCTTTGTAGAGGTTTGTTTTAACCTGAACTAGTTCTGTCACTTGATCCCTGTTCCACCGTAAATCAGTCTCTTTACTTGGTTCCAGATCAAGTTTTTGGTTCAAATCTCACCAGCTTGTGTCAAAGAGAAAACGGCACGGTGCCAAAGTTCGTGAAGCTGTGCATTGAGCATGTTGAGGAACATGGTATGGTTGAAGTTTTTTGTTTTCAAATCTCTCTTGCTCACCACTCTTACCTAATTTGGAATGTTATAATCTTAAAATACTGTAGAGTTATTTGGGGAAAATAATCTGAAACTTATATCTGTAGTTAGCATTGGGTTTTCAAGAACGGGGACATAGGTGGAATCCAAAATGGGAAGAGGGGAAGAAATCTTATATCTGAGCAACTGGTCTGCTTCGGTATATTTCAGGCTGATGAGAAGGCAGAGCAGCCTCCTGGCAGCAAGGCTCTAAGGAAAGAGGAATTACAAGAAGTAATCATCTTCTCAGATTAAAAAAGAGAAACAAAATGCAACCATTCATTTTTTGAAGGTTTAAGTATGCTAACAATCACTTCTGTTAAAACTTCCTTGAAACAAACTTCTCGGAAGAGGTTGTGTTCCTGCTCTGTATACACATTGACTGCCAGAAGATGAGTCTATCAGTTTGATGCCCTTCAGGCAGTTACACCGACTGCTAAATTTTATGCAGTTCTGGAGATTATCAGTGCCCACACATTGACTCAATTTTTCTTTGCTTTCATTGCAAATAAGTGTCTCCTACCTAATAACTGAGAAAACTTTGAAAGCTACATGTGACATTCTGGGTTGTCTGCTGTAAAGGACACCTTCAATCTTTGTTGAAAATATGTTGGTTGTGACTCCTGACATGGCTGTAGTCTCTGCTGGTTTTCTTGCTTGTTTCTTGCTGTTGTCATTGCCCTATCTCTTGGAAAAGATGACTGAGAGGGGATTATGGCATCTCCATAATCATCATTCAGATATATTCCAGTCCGTTAATCTGAGAATGTTCTCTTGAGAATCAGGGTAAGTGTTACAGGGGGAATACATGTGAATTCTAAGGCATCTTCATGGAAACTTCATTTAGGATTTTGTTGCAGCTTGTAGACTTTCTCAATGCTGTTATCTTATGGCCTGGGAGGGGAAAAATAACTGCTTCCATTGCCTTACTGCAGTTTGACAAACTGCCACCTTGCCTGTGACAGCAGGTTTTATTCCACCTGTGATCTGCAGGTTGTAAGAAAGAGGTTATTCTGCTTTGTTCCTTTTTTTTTTTTATTTCTTTTTTATTTTAAAGACAGGACTGCAGTGAAGATAGTGAAGTTTTCCTTTTTTAAATACCTGAGGGGAAGCTGACAGAAATGAACAGCTTTTTTCCCCCCACTTCTCCAACTCTTCTTCCTACTGCCAATACACTTCAAATCAGTTCTTTCTGTAAAGGAATGACTAGTGGATTATGGGGAAAAGGGATATGTCAGATGGTGCTGGTAACTGTGTTCTGTTGCATCAGACAACTCTGTGAGGAGCTACAGGGACTTGCAGGTATTCTGGCAACGCTCACCTGCTCAGTGGCACTGACTCACATGCTGCATTCAAGTGACTCTTTAAATAAATTCCTTACCTCCTAATCACTGCTGAGTAACTGCAGTAACAACCACAGAGACATAGTTTTCTTCTTTTCTGGTTGAGTGCAATCCTTTAAGGCAAGGGCTACCCATTTTAGTGTTGTAGACTGTTGGGTAGCTCTGTGCATGCACAGCTTTCCTTCTCTATGCAAACCTGGTCACTTGACAACTTTGAGATGCTCTCTATGCATGATTTGATTGGATTTCTTAACCATACGTAAAAAAATTGAACATTGTTTCCACAAAATACTTGGTTCTTGCATGTTGGACTCCCGTGTATTCCCTGCCCACCCACCAAGAGCATCTTAAACAAGACATAATGAGTCTCACTGGGGAAACTTGGAGCTGTTGCCTCATTTCTGCTTGCATAGGAAGTTCTAGAGACCACTTTGAACTTGACCCTACCAAACCTGTGTCAGCAAATTAAACCTCTTCTTATAAACCCTGCCCATCAAAAAAAACTAGTTTAACTTTTCCCCCCCCTTTGTTACAAGGTGGGTTTCTTTTGTTTTTAATTTTGCTGAGTAGACCTATAAAGAAGCGACCTAATGATTTCAGAATTCAAATATGTGTGAGGTATTAAAATGGATTTATCTCTTTGTTTCAGGATTAGATATTGATGGCTTATACAGAGTTAGTGGCAATCTTGCAGTGATACAGAAGCTAAGATTTGCAGTCAACCATGGTAAGCTTCTTCCAACTACATTACAATTGCATATATTTTCAGATGGTTGAAATTCATAGAAAGCTCAGGAAAAATATTTCTCTATAACTGTAGTATATCATGAGAAATTACTGCCATCTTCAAAGTAAAGTTACTTCAAAATTGTGGAACTGAGTATGTAATATACACCACTTGAAAAACCCAATAACCTGGAGGCTTGGTCTCATGTGGAGCACAGAGGCATAACTAGAACAGAATTCTAAGGAAAGGTGGTAATAGAATTTGAGGAGAGGGGATTATTTCAGACAAAATAACCCCATACCTTATGGAAAAACAGCAATCATGTTAACCTTCCGCTAGCATTAAAATTGTAAGTTAATGGGTTTTTTTAAGTAAGATTTGCTACTGCCTTTTAGTGTGGAGGGGCTTAACTCCTCTTCACCATGCTCTTTGTAGAAAACCCTTTCATCTGGCAAAATCATAGTGTTTTGTTTGGTACAACTAGGAAGGGGACAGTAGCCCATCCACAGTCTGACCTCTCATTTCCTAATTGACAAGAAAAAAAATTTGTGTTATGTCAGCAACTCCTGTTCCCTTCTGGAAAATGCCCTCAGTGTAGGGGAGCTGCATGTAGTGCAGTAGGCAGAGTTTAACCATCTCTGCCTGTAGTGATTGAGGTTTTGTATCCCTTTTTATGCTACCACAGCTCTATATCCCAGAATGGGTTACAAAAGGGGCTGAAGTGAAGCAAGTCTTCACTGCTTTAAAAGCAATAGGTACAAAAGAATAGTTAAGTTTATTTAAAACAAACAAAAAAAAGCTTTTATAGTTAAATTATTAACACTAATTATTCATTTTTCTCTCTCAGATGAGAAACTGGACTTGAATGACAGTAAATGGGAAGATATTCATGTCATCACAGGAGCTTTAAAGATGTTTTTCAGAGAATTGCCAGAGCCGCTGTTCACTTACAATCACTTCAATGACTTTGTCAATGCAATTAGTAAGTCTGAAAAATGTGGACGTGGTGTTTGTACGAGTTCTGCTCAATTGTTTTAATTATTTTGGACATAAAAAGAATGTTTTGATTATAAACGGCGGTAACTACCGTGGAATTGCCTGTCTGCAATGCAGGGGCCGGTCGGGAGGTGGCAGTGTCCTATCTCATATTGCCACTGCAAACCGTGGCTTTTATTCCCAGCCTGTTAAATTTTATGCCAAAGTTTTAAACAAAAATACTGAATTTTTGTTTGTATACCTCATCCTTTTGCAGAACAAGAGCCAAGGCAGCGTGTCCCTGCTGTTAAAGATTTAATCAAACAGTTGCCAAAACCAAATCAGGACACTATGCAGGTACTCTTTAGACACCTGAAGAGGTAAGTAAGAGATAGAAGGAAAGACTTCGTATTGCTGACCCTCTCTTAAAGCTAAATAATCTGATTGAAAGTACTAGATGGCTGTTTCCACTGCATTTTTATTTCCTATATTGGACTTGTTATGAGCAATATGTCAGTCTGTTTTTATGTGAGCTTGCAGAGCACCAAATAGACCTTAGACAGTATGCTTCATAGTTGTGATGTTTACTGCCAAGCCCTTATGTTTGAGGGATTGTGAGAGGACCAGGAATAACATTTCAAAACAAAACTTTTGTAGAGAGGGAAATTACAGCAGCTGCATGTCCTAGTAACAAGACTACTCATTACAAAATACTATGACTAGTCTTTGGCTTTGGATTGTGTCTTTTTCTGTCATCCTATTAACACTGATAAGTCTCTTTTTGTGTATTTTTTTCTCTTTCAGAGTTGTAGAAAATGGAGAAAAGAACCGAATGACCTATCAAAGTATAGCGATAGTTTTTGGTCCAACCTTATTAAAACCAGAGAAAGAGACTGGTAACATAGCAGTCCACACAGTATACCAGAATCAGATTGTAGAGTTAATTCTACTGGAATTGAATTCTATCTTTGGACGCTGACGTTTTTCTTGAAGTAGAAGCTGGAAGTGATGAGTTGGCAGCAGTACTCCATCAGAAGGAATTATTTTATGTTTGTGGACCAAGCAGCAACTCATTTTTTGCACTTTTGGGGGGGGGAAGAAACAGGAGAAATGTTTGACCACTTTAATGCAAATTAAAGACAACACTTTGGATTTCTTTGAGAAGTTCAATGTAAAAAATGAATTGAAAAGTTTATAGTTTGCCTTTTTCAAGTAGCATTGGAAAAATGTAATATAGGTTCATACACTGGAGTTCTTGGAGAGTAAAGCCATTAATCTCAAACTGGATAATCTGGAATTTAATCTCAAAATTCTTCCACTTGGTAGGGAAAAGTCCTGCCAAATAGTATGGAAAAATTCAGTGAAGAAACACCTTAAGCTTGTGTATTACAACCTACTCAGATCTCTATGACACTTTTCCAAGGGGTTTCTGCATGTGGTGCCTGTCTTGGACTTGCGCTAACAGTTTGGTTTAGTTATTCAAATCTAGTGCTTCACTTGGTATCTGCTGCCCCTTTTCCTTCTTTTTTTTTTTTCCTTTCCCCCCCTTTTTCTGTTGGTTTTTTTCCGCTTCTCTTTGTTTCCTTTTTTTCCCCAGCAACCTTTCTAGAAGTTCTTAGCTGCTTCATAGAGCAGCACACTATTACACTATTTCAAACACTGAACTTGTAAGAATATCCAGCAATGGATATGGCTTATGGCATAACAGAAGTAATATTTAATAAACATGTTCATTTTTTCAGGGTATTTCTTGAGCTAAGTTTTGTGTTATACTGATCTAAATCTGAAGTCCTAAGTAAACACCGACTGTAACACTGTATTGAGTTCATGGTATAATGCTGTGGTAGTGGAAGTTCATTCTTGATGTAAATATGAGCTGTCCTTTTGATTCTTGTATATAATTCAGTCCCTGTATAGTTTAAGAACACTTTAGTCACACATTTCTAATCATGGGTAGATTAGCTACAGTAGCATAATGTTTCCAGTGGATGTCTGGGTTTCAACAGGGAAACAGGTTATGGGGAGGGAGGGGATCTAACTGTGTGCACTTTTAGATGTTAATTACATTTGCAGGCAAATAACTGTAATGCAAATGGTACTGGAGAAATACTGAGTGTGCTTGCTAAATGGTTAATGCACTACAAGAGGAGCCTTTTAGGTTATTTAATATGTACAGGATACATTAGAAAAATGTATTATGAATTCTAACACCTACAAATAGTGAAAGTCATGTTTTGATAGATAGATAGATATTTGGTGGAATCCATGATGCTAAATTTAAGATTTTCTTTTTACATTAATGTAGAATAATTTGTAAAATTGGTTTTGAAAGATTTTGTTACAGGGAGCATGGTCTGCTGAAGATTTTTTTAAATGTATTTTTCTAGACTAACTGCTGTATCTGACATATTTGTTATGTCTAACCTGAATAAAGAAAACCAATAGTTCTTTTAGAGTTTGCCATTCACACTTCAGACAACATGAACCCCCTTTAAACAAGACCAATGTATCTTACCCCTTAGCATGGGTGGGTACCATGGGTGTCATGTATTTAGTTCAGTGTCACACTGAACTAAAAGATGAATGCCTGCTTTATAACCTGACAATTTTAGGAACTTCCCAGTCCCTTTCTTTAACAACTTAAATGCTAACATAAGGTTCAGAGAGGGCAGAAGTAATTTATGGATATAAATTTACAGTCTTTAAAACTCATCCTAACGTGGAACCTACTGTACAGAAAGCAGTTGCGTTGAGGAAGTGATTGTATGTCAGTAGCCTTTGATCTGCTGTGTACCTTGCACACACAGTCCTGGCTCACAGCAGAGGGGACGTGTGGTGACGCACTGAGGCGTAATCAGATGAATGGTACGAGAATTTCATGAGCATAGGGCTTGCATGAAAAGTTTTTGGAGATAAACGAGAAGATTAGTTACCCTGTGGCTTTCTCAGTGTCTTCTTGTGGTAATGGTGAAGTCTTGTGGTTTGTTGCAAAGCGACCTGTGTGAGAGCTGTGAGAGCCCCATCTCCACGGTGTGTCGTCACACCGGAGCAGTGCTGAGTGGCTGCCATGTCCCAACCTACTGGAAAATACCAGCAAAGTTGAAATCTGTGGCTGTATGTTGTTCAAATCCTTACTTTGGCTGTAAAATAAGGAAGAATTCCCACTGCTAAATGAGAGGGCTTGTTCACCGGTCACCTTTTCTGTACGAGTGTTACCTTTTTCAAAGGAAGAATGCCTTTTTAAAGCAATTTGATAATGAGGATGTCACACTTTTCCTTGTTTTCCCCCCAAATAAAGCATTTTGTTATTACAAATATGTAGTATGGTTTTATGCAGTGTTCTTAATATTCTAATTTTTAGTTTGGGGATGGGAGGGTATTCTTTTTAATTGAAAGAGGTGTAGGTAAACACTTGAAACATTTGGGAGGAGGAGGATGAAGTCCAATCTGATGGTACATTTGTTGTGACCAATTTAAAACTGTGTATGTCACCGCACTGGAATTTTTTTACTGCTTGAAAGTTCTTGTCTTGTTCCTGCAGTTAGCATTCTTTTAAATATTCAAAACCAGGGGTTTGCACAGACACAGCTATTTGTATTAGATGAAACATAGTTAATTTTATATATTCCTCAGTTTAGGCTCTAAATCAGATTTGGTTTTGGCTTAAAACCAATTTAAGGCTTGAATATACATTTTTGAGGCCATAAGCACTCAAAGATAGTGGAGGGCCAACATCATATATCGCTGCCAGCTGAGTTTGCTCCAGCACTGGAGCTGTGTTCAGCTCTGTAGTTCAGCTACACAGCATTAGTACCAAGCAACTTGCAAACATGCTTGATCTATACCAGTTATGTGTCTCTTTACTTTGAAGCTGGAGAGAGAAGTGGACACAAAAAAGACAAGGCAAATATACAGAGTCAATTCATGTAAACTAATTTTTTTTGAATCGGAGTTGCTTGCAGGAAGCTTTATTTACATGCAGGTGGATAGGTCACACTTACTGCCTGGGCCCTGGCTTTCCTCCCCATCTTCACAGAAATCCATGATAAATTCCCTTTGTACTGAACCCCTTGTATCCTGGCAAGTGAATCCTCAACTGGCAGCCTCAGAGGGAAGGGAGTTTGTAGGTAATACAGTATCAGTTTATTCCTATGGAGAGCCCAGGCTTTTTCCCCTTTAAGGGAAGAGCTTTATTTAGCCCTAAAGTAATGATATTTTCAGAATCAATTGGTTAATTCATAAGCCATAACGTAGAACAAGCACAGTAGGGCATTCTGCCGGGCCCCGGGGGGAGGGACAGCATGTCTGATGAGGCCACTGCAGCCGCTGGGAGAGGAGAGCTCCTCTGAAGAATCTTAATTAGCTTCCACAATTGCGAAGTTTTGTGGGCAAGCAGCTGGTAGGACTGGATCAGGCCTTTACAAAAGTAGCCCTATGTGAATGTGGGACTTAAATGAACATCCCCACACCCCCCCTCCAGCTCCCCCAGCATTCTTGTAAACAGAGCACTTGTAAAACAAGCTCACACTGTGTAACAAACCAACATGAAAGACATTCAGAGGCAACTTGGCCTCTCAGTCCTTTTTATTGCCTTGAGAATTAAATGGCAGCTCTAATATTAGTTTCCTACAACTTCCCCAAATGGATTCAGTTTGGTAAGGTACTCAGCTGCTGCTTTGAAAAAATAAAAGATATATGTGTTGAATACATCTAACTCAGAACTGCAAAGTGGAACAAGCAGGAATAGTGTCAGTTTTATTTCTCTTGGTACCTCATCTTGCAGCTTATTGCACTAAAATAAAGTTGGCTGGAGAAGGGGAGAGAGATCCTTAGTGTGGGAATAAGTAAATGCAAAACGCTGAAGGCAACCAGACAAAGCAGGTGTGACAGACAAGCCAGATAGCAAAGAAACAGGCACTCAGAACTGCAGGAATCCTGACCAGAGACCTGGGAGAGAGCCAGGCTACCAAGAGTGTGGGTTAGGGTTGTTTTTTCTTTTCTCTTTTTCTTCTTTTGCACTTCTTACAATACGGATGAAGGCCTGGCTATATTTTTTAAGGATAATTTGCTCTGTAAACAGACGGAGTTAAGTAACATTACAAAATGGCAGTACCCAGCTTTCTCTGGCTTTTCCAGAGTGGCTTCTATGTGTGAGCTCCTTGGGGGTGTGCTTGTGTCCAGCTTCACTGGATACAAGCACCTGAGTGCTGAAGTCAAGAACTATGTTCCTTCAACCAGCATCTTCACAATACAAAAATAAACTTGTTCTCAGTTTGGGACTGTTACTCTGGTGACACTGAGTGCCCTATCTGAGATCCAACCCTTGTGGCACCAGATCATGAGAAGCACTGTTGCAGCCTCAGCACACCAGAAGAAAGACATGTATGAAGCTGAAAAGTGAGAGTACGGGCAAAAAAATAAAGCTCCAAGCTAAACTATCTTCACAACTAGTTTAGATTTGCATACATAGTACAAATCTGTTCAGAATAGTTTGTTAACTCATAGTGTGAAAGAAACTGCTGTCCTCTAAAGAAATAAATACCATAAATAAAAGCTGTCATTTCTTATGTCATGCATTGGAAGACACTCGTTAAACATCGGTCAGCTTGTCTGGTTCATCAAGTGCTGTGGCCAAACAGCTGCAATCAAACTACTGTCGATGTGTTTGCTGGCCACAGATGTACCAATGCTCACTGCCTTTACAAAGAGGGTGTTTCTGAGCTGGTGGTGGCTTATTCACTTCCTGCATGTGAGTGTCCTGACTGGTTACTTGTTCCAGTAAAGGAGTACCTAACCTAGAAACAGAACTGAAAATCACCTTTCTCCAAGAAAATCTTTCCTATCAGCCCGGGCTGGGCAGTGCTGTGTCTGCAAGCACTTGACCTGTCCCTGCCTGCTGCAGGGACACTCTGTCCCTCAGCACTGAGTGGGCATATCTTCTTGTGGGTGCTGGCCTTGACAAGCACACCTGTGACCTGCTCAGCTTCACAGCTTTCTTCTGTGAAGAAAAACTGAGACAAGGTAGTGCCTCTCCTCTGCACTCCTTTAAAGTGTTATGTAGGATAAAGGATGCCACCATATTTCCCGTTATGAAAAAGCTGTTTCAGAGCTGAAGTGCTGTTCTTGCTGATGTACTAGTCCTGCTCTAGCTTTTCTCTTTGAAGTTTTAATGATGACTTTTTTTCCTATTAATCTCTCCTTTTGCTTTATTCATCCACCTACTATTCCTGCTGCACTGGAAGTCAGTCCAGCTTGGACCTTTTGCTTCCTTATTTGTACAACAGCCTGGAGCCTGGGGGCTGGAATGTGCTGTGCCTTGCCCAGAGCACTGCTTTGCCTGCGGAGGCTGAGGCACAGGCCGCTCAGCCATAGACACTTCATTACAGAGCAGTCATCATCATAAAAGCATGGACTAGAGAATTAAAAAATGTCCCTTTACAGGTAATAGGTAAAGCAGGCTGTGTGCTGCTCCCTATTTCACAGGCTGCGTCGTCTTCTGTGTTGTAGAAATGTACGTAAGCTAAGCAATTAGGTGTTATATTTGCCACGAGACTGAAGGAAAGCAATATAATTCCATGCAACCTTTAAATTCCCATCCACATCACTTGTGTAGGCTGAGCTGTGAGCCAGCTGCCAAAAGGACTGCACAGTCTTCAGGTTTGCATTAAAACACTGCAGTTATAGGCCACAGTCATGCTTGTCCCCTTCTTTTGCCGGAGTTTCCCAGCCTACCCCATTCAAATGCACAAAAATAAATTACTTTCTGTCCCCCTTTCCTATTTGTGGAGTACAGCAGCTCCATGCAGCAAGCCAAGTGCTCAGAGTGTCCTTGGGTACAGCTTCTTACCCTGTATATACACAATTTAGTTAAGAGGGGGAGAGGACAGTTTATTATAAACATTGAACAGTGGGCGGCATCATTAGCTCTTTAAAATCATAACTAACTCCCCAGGTGGTTGTCCTGGGCTTTCTTTGCATCCCTGAGATAAAAAGAAAGCCTGAGCACATGAGAGCAGGATGCAGCACAATGAAACATTGAGTGCTGCTGTTGCTGGCAAGGCAAACTCCTCTCTGCCAGCATCAGTCTCAGGTGGCAGAAGCACTGCCTATGCTGTATGAGCCAGAAGTGGGGAGACCAGTGCCTTTCCTTCCTTCCTGCTGCCTTTCTAATTTGCTAGGTCATGAGCTAAGGCTCGTGGCGTGTTACAGGCCAGACATGGTGATTATAATGGTCCTCTCTGGTTTTAAAGAATCTATGAATGGAATTGGCACGTAGCCTCCCATTTAGCCATCAACTTCCTTGTTCCTACTTGGCCATTCATGTCCTATATCAAATGAAACTGCTTCTCCTGGCCAAATCTTCCTTCCCATTTATCTCCTAAAGTAATGCTGCTCAGTTGAGCAAAAATGACTCATCACCCACAGCAGCACTTGCAGCTACAATTTG